AGCGGGTAGGGCATTTGCCGTGCACGCAGACAACATGGCCAACCCAAGTTCGATTCCTCCGCCCCTCTTGGAGAGACCGGCAAGCTACCGAGGGTATCTCGCCCACATGGCAAAGCCTGGCAAGCTACCTGGGACGTATTTGATATGCCAAACACAGTAACAAGTGTCACAATGGTGATGTTATTGGGCCCATTCGAGCAAATCGATGAACAATGGGAGGACAGTGACAGTGATGTTAAGTATTTTTTATTTTTATATTTTGGAGGACAAAAAGAAAAAGGCAGAGTGCTGTTCACATTAAAATTGACATGGAGGAGATGAGCAGCTTAGAGACAGTGAGACACATAGCCATAGATAAAAGACCTAAGAACAGAGAAAACAGACAGGTAAAAGAAATAGAGAGGAACTTGGGTAGGCATGGAAAGCCAAAGACTTGAACAAAAAAAAGAATGGTAGAAGAACAGACAGCTGTCAAGAAGAGAAAGGAAAATGACTGACAAGAGGCAAGCAAGATTATCAAGAGGAATGCAGACAGATAAATAGAAAAAAGGGTAAAGAGAGAAGGTAGGCAGACACTAAGGAAAGAAGTGAGATAAATAAGAGTTTTATACTATTTATAAGTGCTTTACAATTTACAAAGTGCTACCATATACATTATTGCAAATAGAAAGGGAGAATCCAAGAGACAGATGGAATGATGGAGGATGCAAACGAATCAAACAGAAGAGAGGGAAAAATGGCTAATCAAAGAGAGAAGCTAGAATGGAAACCAAGTCAGATAGTTAAGAGGAAAGATAGGAGGAATAGGGGCAATAAAAAAGCAGAAATGAAAGAAAAGTATATTGTGTGTAAATAAATTTACCCACCATCTTTCTGAAGAGACCCATAGTAGTACGTCTTGGTTTCCTTCAAGGAACTCTAAGGTGGCATGTAAGAAAATCCAAGAATGAAAAGCAAAGTGTTTTAAACTACAAGGAAGAGAATCTTCTTGGATAAACCTAGGCTAAGGGTGCTGCTGAACCTAGAAGGATCCAGAGTCACGGGCCTCTGAGGAATTCATAAAGACCGTGGGAAATGTAGAGCAATTCTCCATCTACTCTATGCGCATTTAAGCTCAACTTACCAACAATCTCTACATATTAATTGAACCTATATTTATATTTCATTTTTAGGACTGCTTAGAGTCTTCATGTCTTTTCTCAATTAATATGCAGTTCAATGATGAAGAGACCAGCAAAGGTGTGCTTCATCAGGACCACTTACTTTACAGTAAAAAGTACAGCAAAATGCAAGTAGACTTACACATGGGTAGACTCTTCTCTGGAACAGGAGCTAAAAAAAATGTAAAATAGAGGAGAGGAGAGAAACTAAGGGATTAGGAGAGTTCATGAAGCGAGATTACACTTCTCAGAATATTTGTACTTCAAAAATTTTGTGCTATGCACTATCTGTTTAAAAGAAAAATAAGAAAAAAAAGAAACGAGGAGAACAGCAAGAGCCTTGGTAGACAAAAAAAAAAAATGAGGACAACAAGAAAAAAACTGGGAAAATGGCAAAAAGACTGAAGCTGGAAAACCAAGATGAAAGAAGACAAAAGAAAAAGATACAACTAAAATGGAAGGAAGCAATGAAAAAAATGCAGAAGAGATATGGAAAGGTGACCAAAAAAAATTCAGTTGTTTGGGGGCCACATTTGTAGGTGCTCAGGGATATTCCCAACTCTGTACTGGAGGTGGGAATGGGGTTGTTCTGGATGGGCTCAAGGAACTGTTAGAGTGCTGTGATCCTTTGGACCTCGTGCATTCAAAGCAAATATTCAATCCTCTGAACTATTTCTCCAGTATCACACTAAGGCTTTTGGGGTAAAAGGGTCACTCAGAGGTTTAGATAGTGAGACGTTCACCACTGAGGAGATGTTAAAGGAGAAAAGACTGATGATAAAGAGACTAAAAGATCTGAACATTGAAAAGTGGGACAGTGCAAGCAAGCAGGGTAGACAGATAAGACAGACATAAGAGGGAGTTAAGGAAAAATTAGGAACTTCAGAGAAATAAATAGAAGGAACAAGTAGAGGGGGCAATTCAAAACAGAGAACCATGGCAGGGCCAGAAGGGACACAAACCAAGAGACGAAGGCTAAAAAAAGTGATAGAGACAGGCAGGCGGAGAGACAGATGGTTAGAGAGAGTGGTGGGCAAACTGCCAGAAAAGCAGACAGACAACCAGAGAGAAAAAGGCTGCCAGCCAGTCAGGGAGGAGCAGACAAGCAAGCAGGCAGACACCATAATAGGAGTAAGCAGGTAGAGAGGCAGGCAGAAACAAGGATGGGTGAAGAAAAATCAAGAGGTCAGCAGGGAGAACAGAGAGGCCAGGCAGACAGGAGGAGAGCTGGGCAAGAGGGAGAACCAGGAAAATTAGCGAAGCCATATGTAAAGCACTCTCAGGAGAATGACGAATGCTTATCCAGGGATGCACGCAACCACCTTTGGCCACCCGCACCTGCAGCATGTGCAGGCAATCAAAAGTGTTCCACAGAGAGAGGGCATAGAGGAAGAGACTGTGGTGAACATGACACTCCGGGGACAATCTTTCCAGACACCAACTGAGAGGCCAGAAAGAACGGGGAGTCATGCACATAGAGAGGAAGAAGCACACACACAACACACAGAGTCCAAAGGTCAGAAATAAGCAGAGGTGAAAAGTCTTTTGGAACTGGTAAAGCCTAAGCCAAATGGAAAATAAAATTTCAGTGAATAATAAAGCTACACATAAAAGGAAGGGAATACCCAGATAGACAAGTACAGAGACACTGAGAAAGAGGACATCACAGAATAAAATGTAAGAGAGATGGGGTGAGACCCACTAAAGGAAAATAAAGTAGCAGAGGCAAGAGAATTCCAAAGTACAGGTTGAGAAAAAGATGGAAATAAAGGCTCAGTAAATTGGTGCGGGAGATGGGACACCAATGAAAACTTTGTCATCAAAACAAAAATTTGCGTAGTACTCTGTCACTAAAGCCCTTGAGTTGGGCCACTTAGCCCTTGCTCAAGGTGCTCCTTAATATTGCAGGGGCGGCTGGATGAACCAGCAGCTACACTGAAGGGGCAGAGAAACAACCTCTGAGGAAAATTATTCCACAGGCACAGGATGGGAAGAAAAGGGCAGAGTGAGATCAAAGAATGGGAAGGAACAAGAGTAAGGAAAGTGTGACAAGGTAAAGAAAGGCTGGGACTGATCTAATCACCCTCCTTCCTTTCCTTGCTTTGCTCAATTGGCAAGTTTTATTTTCTAAGTTCACTGATCAGATCCCTGGATGAGAAAGTTACTTTTGGACTCCTTTTAAACCTCCATCGGATTCCTGAAACTACGTGCAAGATAAACACTGGTGTATGTAGGAAATCACGGGTCAGTCAGTCAGATAAAAATGCAAGAATACATTCCTCTAACTTTCTTTTTCTCAGAAGTTCCAGTTACTTTCCCTTTTCACATTGCCTCAGTTTTTTCCACTTTATCAATACTGGAGATCACGGAGGAAAGGAAATATATTAAAATGGAGAGAAGAGAATTTCAAAATCTTCAGACTTTGGCTCCTTTCTAAAAATGTTTTTTTACTTTTTAATTTCTCATGGCAGATGAATATTACAATCAAGTAATTGGGAGAAGAAGAGTGAACGAAAGGAAAGGAGTGAAGATAAAATTTATAATTATGAATCACTGAAAGGCTGGGCAAAGGGGAGAATCAAACATGGACTCCTTTGAAAAAATTCAATCATCGTATCTATTCATATCTCTCCCCCCAAAGTCACTATGATTTCTATCACTTCTTTAAAAAAAATCCAACACCGCTTTTCACCTAAAAGATATGTACACAATTAAATCATTTTGTCTCCAATGAGGTATGCTCAAACAGTTACATACAAACATATATATTTTTTCCTCTTCAATGCCTGAAGGGGGAAAAAAGAAAACCTTCACATCAAACCACTCCCTTCTGAAATATTCAGGGGAAAAAAAAAGCTTTTCTTTAAGAGAGAAGGGAGGTGGGGAGGAAGAGGCTAGTAAAGAAAAGAAAAAAATGTCTAGTTGGACTAGTGTCTAACTAGCTAACCTTTAACAATTTATGCTGATGTCAGACTGAGCATGAGTACTGATTAATGCCCCCCTCCAAATATTTTTTACAAGGGGGGGGAGTTAGTCACAGCAGCCATTTTTGTTTTATGTAGAAACCCTTCATGCCCCCCAATAAGTGCGTGCGCGCGCACACACACACAAACACACACGCACGCGCACACACATACACACGCACACACGGTACACGAGAAAAATATTAATCTGTGCACTAATCAGTTATGAAAAAAGGGAGAAATTTGTCGGTTCCTGGGTGGAGGGCTGGAGGTGGAGGTGTAACAGGGAAGAGGATGGGGGTGAAAACTGAAGTATTAAGCCAGCCATTTTGGTTTTAAAAGGGGATCCCCCTCTCCCTTTCTTCATGGAAGGGGTGGCGGTGCCGAGGGGGGGTTGTCTCAAAAATAATTTCAAGGCGGCCATCTTAGTGTCTCAGTTCTGAGAAATATCTCTGAGCGCCCCCCTCAGAATTTAAATATACTTAAAGCGACGGAGAGGGGGACTGGGGAAAGTCGAAAACTTGTCTATGTGTGTATGTACATATACACACAGATACACACAGATACACAGCCGCGCGCGCGCGCGCGCACACACTCACACTCACACACACTTCAATCCCCCTTTCTTGTTCTCCTGGGAGGAAGGAGGGGGAGTCCCTCCCCATTTTATCCAGGAAAATTTTGGGGGGTGATTCCTGCCCCCCTCCTCGGGCAGCGGCCCCGAGGGCGGGGGTCTGGGAGGGGGGCGGCCCGGGGGTCCGGGGGGCTGGGGGAGGCGGTGAGGAGGAGGAGGAGGAGGACGCCGCCGCCGAGGAGGAGGAGGAGGAGGAGGAGGAGGAGGTGGTAGCGGTGGGGGAGGCGGGCGGGCGGTGGGTGGGGGGGTGGTGGGGGGGCCAGAGCCACAGGATGGCTTCCCCTCTGAGGGACGAGGAGGAGGAGGAGGAGGAGATGGCGGTGTCGGAGGAGGAAGAAGAGGAGGACGAAGAGGGCGACGAGGAGGAGGAGGAGGTGGAGGCGGCCGACGAGGACGACGACGAGGACGACGAGGGGCTCCTGGCGCGCGGGCCGGGCCCCGACGGGGGCCGCGACCGCCACGGCCCCCCGGGCTGCCGCCTCTTCCCGCCGCCGCCGCCGCCGCCGCCGCCCCCGCCGCCCCCGCCAGGTAAGCGCCCCCCGCCCGGCCGCCCCCGCGAGCCGAGCGAGCCGCGAGGCGGGGCGGCACCCACCGCGCGGCCGAGCCGAGGCGAGTCCGGCGGCGCCGCGGTCCGAGCGGTCCGAGCGGTCCGGGCGGCGGCGGCCGCGGGGCCAGGCCTCCTCCCCTCCCCCGCACCCCTCCCCCGCCGCCGGAGCTGCGCGCGCGGACCCGGCCGCCCGGTCGCGGCTTTGGGGGAGGCGGAGGCGGAGGGCGTTCTCCTCGCCCCGGCGGGGAGGGGGCAGGCAGGAGCCGGCCGCGGCCCGCCGGGCCCCTCCGCGGCCGAGCGAGCGACCCGCGGGACCCCGCGGCGGGGCGGCGGCGTGGGGGAGGGGCGGGGGGGAGGGGCGGCCGCCCGGGCACCCCTCGGGCCGCGGGCCGGGGTCGGGGCGTCGGAGCCCACCGTGGCCCCGGCCTCCTCCTCCCGGCAGCGGGGCGAGGAGGGGGTGGCGAGGGAGTCGCGGTGTCCGTCGGACCCCCGCCCCGCCCCGCCCCGCGCCGCGGGCGGCGTCCCCAGTGCTCGCCGACTCACGGGGACGTGCGGTGCTACTTGGGGAGAGGGTCGTGGGAACGTGTTGGCCGACGTCCGGGAGCAGGTGGTGGCCACACTCGGCGCAGACCGACCACTTCCGCCGCCGCCTCACCTCTGGCCCCCCAGCCGGAGCCAGAGTGTGAGGCGAGTGTGGGGGGGACCGGGCGCTCGCCTACTCCTCATCTTCGGCTCGCCGCGCTGCGCTTTTTTGTGTGTGTCAAGTGTCCCCCCTTCGTCCCCCCAGTGTGAGGTGGCCCAGCTGTGACTCTCACGTGGCTGCCAGTCACTGTCACTCTTTAGCAGAAGTCACTCACACCCTCCCTACACTGGGGGTGTGAGCGCCCCACAGCCCCCCCCGCCCCGTTGGCGCCCCCCCGCAAGTAAGTGGGCACTCTGGGCAGTTTAGCGAGTGTTGGAGGTGCCAGCTGGCTTCAGGGGTCTGGCAGTGGCCCCACGCAGACCTCGTGAAGTTATTTCCAGTTTCCCTTAGGATGTGTGAGCATCTCAGGGGGGTTGGCACCTCCGGCCGAGGGGAAAAGGAACGTCCACACCCCAGGCCCCTGGGTCTACTGCTGCACAAATGCACGCAGGTCCAAACGTCTTGCAGTCTGCTTTGGAAAACTCCTACTGTGTGGCTCGTGGGGCAGATGTTCCTGTCCCACTGAGACCATCTTTGAGGTGGTACGAGAATTTTTTTTAATTGGGGGTGAGGATGCAAATCTGATGAGGTCCTGGATGCCTCCCTAAATCTGATGAGGTCCTAGATGCCTCCCTCCCCTCGCTACCCCCCCCCCACCCTCTCCCCCACACGATGCTTAACAAAGGGGAAAGTTTTCAAAGTTGTCTCCAGAACCACTAGGGAAAATCAATAAAGAATTATGGGGAGGGAATTGCTTGGAAAACTGCAGAGGTGCTAACAAAAAGAAAGGAAGCCTGTTTGGGAGGTTGAAGTTGTCTCCTAATTGTGTTCTGAATTTGGAACGTCGCCACTTGGGTATTTTGATTTGCGATTTGGGTTTGTGAGGGAGAGGAGCAAAAAAAAAAAAATCTGAGGTCTTTGTGTGTCAAAACTCCCTCTCTTCCCCCCCCCCCCCCCCCCCCCCGTTCTTTGCATAGATGAAAAGGACACCAACCGCTTTTTGTTTAATTTTCTGTCTGAAATTAATGCCTACCTCCTCTTTTCCATTGCAATTTTATCTCCCTGTCAGCCCTGCAAGTCAGTGAGTGACCCAGATACACCCCCTCAGATGACTTTCTGAGGTAAAACTTTTGAAAAATATTTTTAGTCTCTTCACTATTTCTTTACCTAAGTGCGGCAAAACAATCCTCCTCTCGGGCTTCCCTCCCTCCGCCTTGAATTTGTATGCATTACAGACTTCTATTGTTTTTCCTTCTGTTTTGATTCTCACCATTTTGTTTCACATTCTTGCCCCACACTAATTTTTCCCCCGTCCCCCCCCCTGGAGTCTCCTTACATTGGTTTAAAATAATAGCACTCGTGTTGATGGGGGAAGGGAAGCAGGAAGCCCAAATCTCCTTTCTCCTCCCTCCCCCTTCTGGCAAGGATGGAGAAATAATATAACATAATATATAGATGTGATTTCTTGGAGGTGGGGGTGGGGAACGATTGTGGGTGGTGCGGAAAATTCTGGTAGTTTCTTTGCAAAAGGTCTGAACATACAAACCCACCCCCTGCGTGCAATACGCATGTGCAGCAGACCTATTATGGAGGTTCGTTGTTGGGGAGGGAGGGGAATTTGAGAAAAAATAAATATATGTGTGAGAGATTGATGGTGAGATTAGGAGGCAGCGGGCGGGCGGGAGGCGAGGCTCCGTGGCGGCTCCGCCCGCTCTGGGGTTCGCGGGCCCAGCGCCCGCCCAGCGCCCGCCCCGCCTGCAGGCGCTGAGTGGCTGCTGAGACCGAGGTTGGAACTTGGATTTGCTTTATCGCCCTGCTTCCCCTCTCGCCGTTCTACCTTGCCTCTCCCACCCCGCCGCCTTTCGGGAACTTCCTACCGTGTTTGGGAGGGAGTTGAAGCCCTCGCGAGGTTCCTGAACTTGTGCTGCTCCTTACCTGCTGGCGTGACCTAGTCCTAGCAGCTAGCCCGCCCTTGCCACTGCCCCAGTACCCGCAGTTTCCACGTTCGCATTAACTGAAGCACCCGGGCGTTTAGGGAGCCCTGGCTGCTGGGGCACGAGTTTTCCAGACTTTCTGTTACTGGCCCTATTCTGTTTTCACACCACCGGCTTACTCTAGGACGCTCCCAACTCAAACCTCAGAATTTCTTCCTGCAGGGAGGACATAGGATGCTGGAGTTAGGCTTTGAAGGACAGAGGTGCCAGGATTTGGAGGCAAAAGAAACCAAGGCCTCGGGTGTTAATTGTGGCTAATTTTCCCTTGGCTCTTGAAGGAGGAAGGATTGTGTATCCTAGAGCAAGGGGCTGGGCCAAGGCCTTTCCCCTATGTACGGCAGCCTTTGCCTGAGCAAGACAGGTCTGGCTGGTTAGTCAAGTGCTGGGGGAGGGAGACCAAACAGGGCCTCTAGTCTGTGGCCTCATCATCTTCCTCCAAATGAAGAAAATCTCCAGATGATTCCCCAAGCCTGGACAGATTGGCAGGAGTCATGGAGAATGGGGTGGGAGAACATCAGGGAAGAACTAGCTCTGATTCTCCGACAGAGATATCTGGACGAAGGTCCGAGACCTAGCCCTGCTGAAAGCAGGTACAGGTTCTCTGGATTTATGCTCAGAAGTATGTGTGGGTATGTGGTATGAGTTTGAGACTGAATATGGGTATGAGTCTGTACTTCTGTCTGCCATGTGGCTGATCTATGAACGGATCAGAATGTCTAGGACTATACTGGAGAAGAATGGTGAGATGAAGACAAAGTACAAGACCTTTACTCAAAAGGAGCAGGGAATGGAACTATATTGGAAGACAGATTACAGGCAACTTGGGGGAGGAGAAATTTGAGGTATTTGTGGAGACCTTGTTTGTAACGACTGAACTAGACACTGATCTGTGGGCATGAAGTGAAAACAGCCACTGGCATTTCTCATCCTCCAGGGTGACAAGAGCTTGGTGATTATCTGAGGAAACATAGTGGTCCCCCTCATTGTGAAAAAGAATGTCAGGACCCCTGGGTGAAAATGCAATAACCCAGGTGTCCACCTTTGGCTCTCCCTTCTCAGCATCTGGCTTAGGGAGCTGCCAACTTGTGTCTCCCCACTCAAAGTGCTGGGGTCAGGCCAGGCCAGCAGCTGGGCATGGCTTCCCTAGTTTCTGGGCATGATGCCAGCTGGCTAAGTGAGGGGGAAGGCAGGAGGAGTCCTGGCGGGGACTGAAAGGACCTGCCACAGTCAGAGCCTACGGCCTAGAGCCTGGTTCCTTGTTAGTAAGAGGGAAGAAAAGGGAGTGGTTTGGCTGTTCTTCTCTTCTGACCCATGACCTCCCATTCAGAATCAGAGCATCCCGGAGTACTCTGTATAGTCTGTTTGTATCCAGTGAAGGGAGACAGGGCAAGGTTTGGAGAAGTTAATACTGGAGTTCCTAGAGAGTGGGATTCGAGGATACGAGGAAATGCGGAGAAGCCACAGAGACTGGGAGCCTAGAGGCTGAGGTTTTTTGGTGTTCTTTGTTCCAAAGATAAGGATGACATTCGGCTGCTCCCTTCAACATTGGGTGTGAAGAAGAGAAAACGAGGACCCAGGAAGCAGAAGGAAAACAAGCCAGGAAAACCCCGAAAACGCAAGAAACTTGTAAGTGTTAAGGACTCCTGTCTTTGTAGCAAGGCTCTAGAGAGTAATTTCCAAGGACTTAAATTTTCTCTGGGCCTGATGTCAAGGGAATTCTAGAGTCAGGAATGCCTGGTTCCTCTCCCCTTTTCTGCTGACCTATATCTTATGGATCTGGGACTTTAACCATATCGTAGTGAAGAGCCCAGTTACTTAATGTCTTGCCTTAGTGGCAAAGAGAAGCTGTTGAAAGCTTTGGAATAGACTGCATGAATTCAGACCCCCAAGCAGTCAGTCTTCTTGAGCAATTTATTTAGTACTTTGTGCCTCAAGTTGCAGGTCTGTTAAAAAAAAAGAATAAAAATAGATTAGTTACTTCCACACAAGATATTATAAACTTTAAAAGAGATACTGTTCTTAGAAGCTAAGTACAATTCCTGGAACTTGGTAGAACTGAAGAAATGTTACTCTCATTTCTTTTTTTTTTTTTAATTTTTATTAGTGAAACACCATGAGGTACAGTTGTAGACTTACAAAGTTTTGTGCTTGGGTTTCAGTTATACAATGATCGAATACCCATCCCTCCACTAGTGCCCATTCTCCACCACCACTGATCCCAGTATCCCTCCCATCCCCCATCCCCTCCATCCCACCCTGCCTCTGTGGCAGGGCATTCCCTTTTGTTCTCTCTCTCCTTTTGGGTGCTGTGGTTTGCAAAAGAGGCATTGAGTGGCAATCATGTTCGGTCATTTCTTTCCCTTAGGACAGTGAGGAGGAATTTGGCTCTGAGCGAGATGAATACCGGGAGAAGTCAGAAAGTGGAAGCAGTGAATATGGAACTGGACCAGGACGAAAACGGAGAAGGAAGCACCGGGAAAAAAAGGAGAAGAAGACAAAGCGGCGGAAAAAAGGAGAGGGAGATGTGGGGCAAAAGGTGAGTAGAGGGGCCAGAGACATAGTATGGTTCAGTAAGGCACTTGCCTTGCACATGCTTGACATGGGTTTGATCTCTGACACCCCATGTGGTCTCCTGAGCATGGTCAGGAGCAACCCCTGAGCACAGAGCTAGGAGTAAGCCCCAAGCACTGGTGGATGTGGCCCCAAAACAGAAAAAAAAGCACTCAAGAAAACAAAATTTAAAAGGTGAGTAGAATTATCAAGGAAAAAGGGAAATCAGTATAAGAGATAGGTGTAAGAGGGAAAGTTCCAAGGTAATGATACTAAATAGCTCAGCTGTCACTTGTAAGGAGTGGGGACATGGGAATTTAGAATGCTAGGAAATTCAGGATGCTAAGATTGCTAGGGAATTCAGGATTCTAGAATCCCAGGGAAGCAGGCGAATGGACAGAGTTTTAGTGGGGGGCTTAGGGTAAGGCTATTGAAGTAACCCAGCACTGAAACTTTTGTCTCTCCCCAGCAGGTAGAACAGAAGTCATCAGCAACTCTGCTTCTGACCTGGGGACTGGAGGACGTGGAACATGTTTTCTCTGAGGAGGATTATCACACACTCACCAACTATAAAGCCTTTAGCCAGTTCATGAGGTGCGGCACAACTGGAATATCTTTAGGAACAAACACTTCTAATTTAGGGAAGGCCCCGGACCCCCTGGAATCTGCTGAAGTCTAATAAACCTTTCTCCAGAGAAATTCGCAGCACATAAACACAATATTCCACCTGTAACTTTAGAATTCAAGCAAGGAATTCCTAGACTCCTAAGGATTTGTGGATCCCAGTCAGGAGTACATGGTTTCCATAATTCCAGTGCCAAGATTAGAAAACTCTTGGTGATAGAGTATAGTCAGGACTAATGGCCATCCTGCTCCAACAGTTTCATTGTCTCTTACATAACTTCTCTCTAGAACTGAGAGATAACAGTAGTGTTCCAGAATTTCTTTTGCCTGATTATTAGGTGCTCTGTCCCTTCATTAGGCCTCTAGTAAGAATGGAGAATGTGCTTAATTTTGAGTGTTTTTTAGAGAGTACCAGCAGTTCAGTAGTTCTGGAAGCAGTCTGTTGTGGTCCTAGTCCTTGATGTTATCTTTTGCAAGTTGTCATTGTCGTCTCCTCCTCCTCCTCCTCCTCCTCCTCCTCCTCCTCCTCCTCCTCCTCCTCCTCCTCCTCCCTCTTCTCCCTTCTCTTTCTCCTCCTCTTCTTCCTCTTTTCTTCTCCTCTTCCTCCTCCTCCTTCTCCTCCTTATTTTTATTTTTATTTTTCAATTTTGAGACACACTCAGCAGTTCTTTGGGGCTTCTCCTGACGCAGAACTCAGGGGCTGCTTCCAGCAGTGGTTGGGGATCTTGCTGTTTCAGGGATCAAACCTGGGGCTCCTGCATGTAAAGCATGTACTCCAGTCCATTGAGGTCTCTCCCTGGCCCCACAGATTAGTTATTTGATTTTTGGTTTCCTCATTTGTAAAGTAGGAATAGTTGTACTATATATTCCATGGGAGATTTGATGGGATAATGAGTGTAAAATCTGGTTCTACTCACAGATAGAATCTAACTCCATGAATGCCTAATTCCCAAGAAGTTTTCAACACCTGGATGTCAGTCAGACTGTTATTTTGCATCTCCCTGCCAAGTCCAGTGCCTTTGTCAACTTGTGGCAAGTCAAGTCCTCATAAGAGCTTAACACTTCACCACAGTGTAGATCCAGCATGACCCATCAGATTATATCCCTCATGGGATACTTCAGTATCCATGGAACTTTACAGAAAAACCACAGACGCTCATAGCAACTTAGTGTTATTGTGAGGATGAAGTGAGATATGATGGGCTGGGGATGTGGCTCAGTAATAGAGCACTTACTTGCACATGGGAGCTCCTGAATTTGATTCCTGGAGCCACTCAGCTCTCCAAGTATTGCCAGGAGTGAACCCACAAAAGTAAAATATATTTGAAAATGTTTTATAAAATATACAATAGTGTTCCAAGTAAAGTGTTTTTATTGATAATTTTCTTTTTATTTAAATTCTACTTTCTCTCTCTCTGTCTCTCTCTGTCTCTGTCTCTCTCTGTCTCTCTCTCTGTCTCTCTCTCTCTCTCTCTCTCTCTCTGTTTCATTGGACTATACCTAGCTGTGTTCAGGGCTTACTCCTGGCTCTGTGTTCAGAGCATTTCCCCTGGCAGTGCTCAGGGAACCACATGCTGTGCCTGACAAAAAACAAGTGTCAGGGACGTGTAAGGCAAGCACCTTACCTATTGTACTATCTATTACTCCCTCCCTCCCTCTCTCCCTTCCTTCCTTCCTTCCTTCCTTCCTTCCTTCCTTTTCTTTCTTTTCTTTCTTTTTTTTCTTGTTTTTGGTCCACACGTGGCAATGACTTTGCACTCAGGAGTTCCTCTGGTGATGCTTGGGGGACCATATAGGATGCTGGAGACCAAACTCGGGTCAGACATGAGCAAGACAAACACCCTATCTGCTGTACTATCTCTCCAGACCCTTTTTTCTTTTCTTTTCCTTTAAAAAAATCCTGTTAAGAATTGTTTTTTTTAAATTTTTAAAAAAATTTTGGGGTCACACCCGACAGTGCTCAGGGGTTACTCCTGGCTCTGCACTCAGGAATTACCCCGGCGGTGCTCAGGGGCCCATATGGGATGCTGGGAATCAAACTTAGGTCGGCTGCATGCAAGGCAAACGCCCTACCTGCTGTGCTATCACTCCAGCCCCAAGAATTAATTATTTTTTTAAAAATTGATTTTATGACATTTTCACCACCCAGGAATCCCAGCCTTTGTATGTGCTTAATTGATGAAGACAAATGACCATATTCCCTCCCAGACTAGGTGGGAAGGGTCTGAGTCTTCTGCGTCTATGTTTACAGGCCCCTAATTGCTAAGAAGAATCCTAAGATCCCAATGTCTAAGATGATGACTATCCTTGGGGCCAAATGGAGAGAGTTCAGCGCCAATAACCCTTTCAAGGGGTCAGCAGCTGCTGTGGCGGCGGCAGCAGCGGCAGCGGCTGCAGCTGTAGCTGAGCAAGTGTCAGCTGCTGTGTCATCAACCACCCCGATAGCACCTTCCGGACCCCCTACCCTTCCACCACCCCCAACTGCTGATATCCAGCCCCCACCCATCCGAAGAGCCAAAACCAAAGAAGGCAAAGGTGAGAAACTATCCAACAACTGTAACACTATCCTTCAAACCGTATTTTCAAATTGCAGTCTTCGAACTCTTTTGTCTTCTCAGCCCTGATTGTTATAAGGTGAAATATTTTCCATAAAACCATAGTCCACATAGAAGAGTCCAGAGGTCTTTCTGACCTTCATTTTTTTTCTTTTCTTTTTGGGTCACACCTGGTGATGCTCAGGGGTTACTTCTGTCTTTGCACTCAGGAATTACCCCTGACAATGCTTGGGGGACCGTATGGGTTGCTGGGAATGGAACCTGAATTGGCCGTGTGCAAGGCAAATGCCCTACCCGCTGTGCTATCGCTCCAACTGCCATGACCTCCATTTTTCTAGGCTCACATATAACCTCTGCCTTTTCTCCTCATATCTCTTCTCATTCAGGTCCAGGCCATAAGAGGCGGAGTAAGAACCCCCGAGTTCCTGATGGACGCAAGAAGCTTCGGGGAAAGAAAATGGCACCACTCAAAATCAAACTAGGGCTGTTGGGTGGCAAGAGGAAGAAGGGAGGCTCGGTGGGTGGTACTTCTTTGTCCAGTAAGCACCTTGGGTAGGGCTGGGGGTCAGGACTTGGGGTTCAGACATGGATCCCTGAGTATCCGGAGCAGGAGCCAAAGATCTGGGAGGGGATTGGATCAAGTTGGCCTCCCTGACAGCCATGGGGTTATGGGCAGTATATTTTGCAGAGTGACGAGGGCCCCGAACCAGAGGCTGAGGAATCAGACCTGGACAGTGGCAGTGTTCACAGTGCCTCAGGCCGGCCTGATGGCCCTGTCCGCACCAAGAAACTAAAAAGAGGCCGGCCAGGAAGGAAGAAAAAAAAGGGTAAGTAGTATTAGCTTTGGGTAATCATATCTGTCTGCTGCCTTATTTATGCCTTAGTTGACTTTCTTATTTCAAGATTGGCTTTTTCAACCCTGCTTTTTCTTTCATCTCTCTGTCCCTCTTTCTGTTTCTATTCTATCTCTATTGGGGTTTATAACGGTTCTGGCGTGTCCTGCAGTGCCCGGGGAGGAGGAGGTTGATGGCTACGAGACGGATCATCAGGACTATTGTGAGGTGTGCCAGCAGGGTGGGGAAATTATTCTGTGTGATACCTGCCCTCGTGCCTACCATCTCGTCTGCCTTGATCCTGAGCTTGACCGGGCTCCTGAAGGCAAATGGAGCTGCCCCCACTGTGTGAGTACCCCTATGCCAGAATCATTGGGACCTCAGAGACCGACTTGTCTAGTTTTTGGATTGAGTTGTTGTTTTCCTTTCCCTATGTGCTTGGGCTTCTTAGTATAAATGTTAAAACAAGTGCCAGAATCCTAGTTAATTCCTCTCAACGATCCCTTTGCCTCCTCAAATCGACATTTTTTTGGAAAAAGTTTTCCTGTTTTAACCTCCAAAAGTCTTCTCTGCACTTATAGCATTTAGGTGTCCAGTATTCTAATTTTTCCCCCCCTTTTTTCCATCTCTATGTCTGAACTTGATCTTCCAGGAGAAAGAGGGGGTACAATGGGAGGCTAAGGAGGAAGAAGAAGAATATGAAGAGGAGGGAGAAGAAGAAGGGGAGAAGGAGGAAGAGGATGACCATATGGAGTACTGCCGTGTGTGCAAGGATGGTGGGGAGCTTCTGTGCTGTGATGCTTGCATCTCTTCCTACCACATTCATTGTCTGAATCCACCCCTGCCTGACATCCCCAACGGTGAATGGCTTTGTCCCCGATGCACAGTGAGTATACCCATCTCTCAGTGTTTCCTATCAACTCTCTCTTCCCTGTCTCTTGTGCCCAAATGCCCAGCTCTTTTTTTTTCTCCCCCATGCCTAGACTTTGATTCCATTGTAGAATCTTATCCTGCTCCAATGATGGACCCTCTCTGCCTTTTTCTTTCTTTGTATGTGTCCTTCCCAAGTGCCCTGTGCTCAAAGGTCGTGTACAGAAGATCCTACATTGGCGGTGGGGGGAACCACCCGTGGCCATTCCTGCTAACCAACAAGCAGATGGAAACCCAGATGCCCCAACACCCCGTCCTCTTCAAGGCAGATCAGAGAGAGAATTCTTTGTCAAGTGGGTAGGATTGTCCTACTGGCACTGCTCCTGGGCCAAGGAACTTCAGGTACAAGTGTCTTTCTCTCCTGTGACCCCATTCACTCCATTCTTCTTGTCTCTTAGCAGAAAAATTATCTGGTTTTCTGCCCTTTGTTTTCCTTTTTTTTAGTTTTCTGGCCTTCAGACCCTACCTTGTCCTTTTAGTTGCCATATTTACCTTTCTTGGTCTCAATTTTGATGAAATTTCTTCCAGTAGAATATAACAAAGCCTTCCTTCACATCTTCTCTCTCTTTTTTAATCTGTCTTCTCCCACATTTTTCCAGTATCCCCAATCTCAAAAACCTATGAATTGCCTCCTTTTGCTAATTATATCCCCACCCAAACTCTGTCTTCTGGCTCTTTTATTTATTCTCCTGCTTTTGTTTTAATTTACTGTTTATTTCATCCAGCTCTTTCATCATAGCTCCCTTTCCTATGCTGCTATTCTTCTGGCCTTCCCCCCTCAACTTTGTCATTTGTGAACATTGTGAGCATCTTTGTCTCATCAGCTGGAAATCTTCCATTTGGTAATGTATCGGAACTACCAACGGAAGAACGACATGGATGAACCTCCACCCCTGGACTATGGATCTGGTGAGGATGATGGGAAGAGTGACAAGCGCAAGGTGAAAGATCCTCACTATGCAGAGATGGAGGAGAAGTACTATCGTTTTGGTATCAAGCCAGAATGGATGACTGTCCACCGTATCATTAACCACAGGTGAATCTTTGGTCAATGGGAAGTCCTGTCTGGGCTATGCCACATTTTTTATGAATTATGTCCCCATATTTGTTGATTTACCAGATTGATCAAATCAGAGTATCTCTTGATGTCCCTACCTTTTCAACCTTGTTTCCTCAATGGAGATAAGAGAAACCAGGAGGGAAAGTCATTTAGTACCACTTCTTTTATCACTGCTTCCTCTTATCCTTAGTATGTGATATGTGAGTCTGAGGATCAAGGAATGAAAACAAAACATGATTCACCCAGACCAGTGGTTTTATTGTTTCTTCCTTCATAGTACATATTTCTGACTGATATTAGGCTATGTATTTATTTTTTCTATTTCATTATTGTCTTCCCCAGTAGTACATGAGCCACATGAAAATAGAATAATTTTTTGGGGGTGGGGGGATGGTTTGTTTGCTTCTGAATCGTCAGTTCTTTTAGAATGTAAGAGCAAAATAAGTCGTGTCTACATGAACAAATAATGTTCAAACCCCAGGATGTTTTGTGGTAGTTGATTTTTAGGATGCCATTCTAAAAAAGTTGGAAGACTTAAAAAAGCATTTCAGGGGGCTGGAGCGATAGCACAGTGGTTAGGACATTTGCCTTGCATGCGGGCCGACCCAGGTTCAAATCCCAGCATCCCGTATGGTCCCTGAGCACTGCCCGGAGTGATTCCTGAGTGCAAAGCCAGGAGTAACCCCTGAGCACTGTCGGGTGTGACCCAAAAAGCAAAAAAAAAAAAAGCATTTTAGCCATTCTTAATACCTTTTTAGTGGCCCAAGTCTTAGGTGACAAAACCCATTGGGTCTACTGGTAATTATGTATATTGAGTCTTTATTTAGGATCCATATTACTTTTGCCTCACTTTTCCTTCTGCCCTACAGTATGGATAAAAAGGGGAATTACCACTATCTAGTGAAATGGAGGGACTTGCCGTATGACCAGTCTACCTGGGAAGAAGATGAGATGAACATCCCTGAATATGAAGACCATAAACAGAGCTACTGGAGACACCGGTGAGGGGTCTGGGCATGGGCTAGAGCAGTGTTTCTCAGTCTCTTTTCATAGCTTGTTTGCCCTTTCAACCTTGTTTCCTTCCTGTGACCCCTTTGTTCTACTGGTTGTCTCCCTAGTTCATGCTATGCCTCCCCTCTCCCCCATCATTTGCATGATTTTCACCTGTGGCCACTTGGAATATTCTGGGGACCAGTGGGGGGCATATGGACTCCTGTTGAGAAACACTGGGTTAGAAGACATTAAAACTAAACCCACAGCATGAAGTGAGATACAGTAGGGATAGAAATGATCTAGAATTAAGGGCAATGGGATTCTGGTCCGGGTTGTTTGGAGTAAGAGATGGTAAAGAGGCTTTACTGGTAGCAGAAGGAAAATTTAGCCTGAGTGGTGGGATAGAGGATACACATGAGGGGGAAGGGTTGGCTCCCTGGGAATTAATTCCCAAGGTGGGAATTAATGTGAAGCTGGGAGAAAAGAAATGAGAGAAAAATCTAGAGTATGGAAATTGGAAGGTAGATCTAGAGTGGAAGAAAAGAGTGGGTGTAGGGGTCCTCAAAGACCAGACTTCACTCAGACCAATTAATTCTCTTTACAGAGAATTAATTATGGGGGAGGACCCGGCTCAACCCCGTAAGTATAAGAAGAAGAAGAAGGAACTTCAGTGTGATGGGCCTCCAACTTCTCCTACTAATGATGTAAGTTCTCTCACTTTCTTCCATTTCTGGAGCCCTAGTGATTAAAGATTTCTTGGGGGACTGCTGACAGAAATTTTAGAATTTTAATAGCCTCTCTGAGTAACTTCAGCCGCTCTCCTCAGATTGGCCCCTCCAGTGAGTAGGAGTTTTGTCAGGGGAGTGAGACAGCTGCAGGAATTGATGCTCCTCTACCAGTTATCTTTTCCCATAGTGCTGTTGGGGGGTTGGTGGGCGCCTAGGAGAAGGTTTGGCCCACACCCAGCTGTGCTCAGGGATTACTCCTGGCCCTGTGGTCGGGGGTCACTCCTGGTGGTCCTGAGGGCACCACATGTGGTGTTGGGGATCCAAAACAGGTTGGCCACATGCAAGGCAAACGTCTTACCCCCGGTACTGTCTCTTTTCGGTCCCTGTTGTGTATTTGTTTGTAGAATAAGCAGAAGAGATTGAAGTTAGAACCTTCATAGGTTTGGGCTACAGAAGAGGAAATTATAATTCGTATATTGATGGAGTTTATCAGTGCCAGGGAATGGGGAAGAGGGGAACAAGACAACAGGAGCAGCTGGTTATTTCCTTAAGCTTTCTGACTTCTTGACTCTACAGCCTACAGTGAAATACGAGACTCAGCCTCGCTTTATCACTGCCACTGGAGGCACACTGCACATGTACCAGCTGGAAGGGCTGAACTGGCTACGCTTCTCATGGGCTCAGGGCACTGACACCATTCTGGCTGATGAGATGGGGCTGGGCAAGACCATACAAACCATCGTCTTCCTCTACTCACTCTATAAGGAGGTGCTGGATTCTAGGGCCCCTGAGGGGGACAGCCTGAGATGGGGAAGGTGGGAGTGGTGGAGGAAGGGATGAGGGGAGGCAGAGGATAGGATGTACAATTAGGAGCCCTAAACTAATGGTCCCCCTACACTCATTTCGCAGGGTCACACAAAGGGTCCTTTCCTGGTGAGTGCTCCACTCTCCACCATCATTAATTGGGAACGGGAGTTCCAGATGTGGGCACCCAAGTTCTATGTGGTAACATACACCGGTGACAAGGACAGTCGGGCCATCATTCGTGAAAATGAGTTTTCATTTGAGGACAATGCCATCAAAGGTGGCAAGAAAGCTTTTAAGATGAAGGTAAGTTTCTCTTCATTTTCTAAACCTTCAAGTCTTTGCCATGTAGGATTTCAGTTCCTTCATTCCCCACTCGAATTGTCTCTCTTTTCTCCACCTGTCCTTGCACATTTGCAGTTCAGTGCTGGATATTAGCAGGTTCTCCAATGAGAACACACGAATCACTTCATATTAGATTTGTGGTAGAAATTTGGGGGCCATGGTTAGTTTGGAATCAAAGTTAAAGGACTGGATAACTGGGTCTCTTTGGGGGGGTCACTGCAGGGCATTTGGGTGAAGAATAGGGGCTGGAGGCACAGTGTTTGGTGTTGGGTAGCAGCCAATGGGCAGTGGTTGTGTTGGCAGAGGGAGGCGCAGGTGAAGTTCCATGTTCTCCTGACATCGTATGAGCTGATCACCATCGATCAGGCTGCACTTGGCTCCATCCGCTGGGCCTGCCTCGTGGTGGATGAGGCCCATCGGCTCAAGAACAACCAGTCCAAGGTGAGTGGACCAGACTTCAGACCTCAGAAATTTAACACTGTGCACCCCTACTTGCCCTTGTCCTAAAAATGCTTGGGGACTTTCTATAATATGAGAGGCAGGGTGCTTGGGAACCTCTGGGGGAGCCATTCAAGTAGGGAGAGGGAGAGGGCTTAGGGTTCGAGGCCTCTGGTCTTGGAGGGAGTGACTGCTGGCTGCAGGGAAAGTCAATACCATGGATCGACTTAGCACTGATGGGCTTTTTCTCTTGCCTTTCCTTGCCCCATTTGTAGTTTTTTAGGGTTCTCAATGGCTACAAGATAGATCATAAATTGCTGCTGACAGGAACTCCATTACAGAATAATCTGGAGGAGCTCTTCCATCTACTGAACTTCCTCACCCCAGAGAGGTTTAAGTAAGTGACTCACTTAGGCTAGTCTGCATAGATGAAAGGTAAAGGGGCTGAAAAACAAGTGGGTGGGGAATTAATGTGAAGTGAAAAATAGAGCCTGAGGCCAGGAACCAAAATCCTGACGTCCTGTTTGTTTCCTTATCTCTTACCTACTAGCAACCTGGAGGGCTTCCTGGAGGAGTTTGCTGATATATCCAAAGAGGACCAGATTAAGAAACTGCATGATTTGCTGGGGCCACATATGCTGCGGAGGCTTAAGGCTGATGTCTTTAAGAATATGCCAGCCAAGACAGAGCTCATAGTTCGAGTGGAGCTGAGCCCCATGCAGAAGTAAGAAGCAAGGCAGACGAGGGTTCTGCCTCCTAGGCGAGGGCTTGGGGATTTGATGGAGTTGCAGCATCATAACTGCTTCCTTTACTGTGTCTCTTCTATGTCTCTCCCCTCATCTTCAGGAAATACTACAAATATATCCTGACTCGAAATTTTGAAGCCTTGAATTCACGAGGCGGCGGGAACCAAGTGTCACTGCTTAACATCATGATGGATCTTAAGAAGTGCTGCAACCACCCATACCTCTTTCCTGTGGCTGCTATGGTAGATATAGAGAACTGGGAACTGATTAAATGTCTAGCTGATTGAAAATTGGAGATGCTGAGCACAAGGATAGAACTGGGCTAGGAGAGCAGGGACTGGAGATGGGAAAGGAGCAGGAATTTCAGACAGGGAAGCTGGATTTGAGTTTCCAGTTTTCTAGGCATAGCACAGCGGTAGGGCGTTCGCCTTACAAGCGGCCAACATGGCCGACCCGAGTTCGATTCCTCCGCCCCTCTCGGAGAGCCCGGCAAGCTACCGAGAGTATTCCATATGCCAGACACAGTAACAACAAAGTCTCCAATGGAGACGTTACTGGGCCCGCTCGAGCAAATCGACGATCAACGGGAGGGCCTTTTTATTATTAAATATACATGAACACACTTAACTGACCCTCTCCTCCCTCTCTTCTCTTCAGGAGTCCCCAAAACTCCCCAGTGGGGCTTACGAGGGTGGAGCACTTATTAAGGCATCTGGGAAACTTATGCTGCTGCAGAAAATGTTGCGGAAGCTGAAGGAGCAAGGACACAGAGTGCTCATCTTCTCACAGGTGACCCAACCCTGTAGCTCTTTTTCATTATCAGCCTAATCCCTTACCATTCTGAACACAATGTCCTCCCATTGTTCATCGATTTGCTCAAGTGGGCCCAGTAACGTCTCCATTGTGAGACTTGTTGTTACTGTGTTTGGCATATCGAATACGTCACGGGTAGTGAGCCAGGCTTTGCCGTGCGGGCGAGATACTCTCAGTAGTTTGCCAGGCTCTCCAAGAGGGGTGGAGGAATTGAACCCGGCTCGCCCAGGCTGGCTGCACGCAAGGCAAACGCCCTACCACTGTGCTATCGGAGATTATACCCCTAAGAATTTCTGATATACTGGGGCCGGAGTGATGACATAGCAGATAGGAAGCTTGCCTTGCACAAAGCCAACCCAGGTTCGATTCCTGGCATCACATATGGTCTCCCAAACACCACCAGGAATAGTCGCTGAGTGCAGAACCAGTAATAGACCCTGAGCACTGCCAAGTGTGGCTCCAAAACAAACAAAAAAAGAATTTCTGATATACTTAATTCAACTTGGTCTCTTGCCCTTGTTCTTTTTTCCTTTCCTTTTTTTTTTTTTTTTTGCTTTTTGGGTCACACCTGGCATTGCACAGGGGATACTCCTGGCTCTCCACTCAGGAATTACTCCTGGCAATGCTCATGGGACCATATGGGATGTTGGGAATCGAACCCGGGTCGACCGTGTAAAAGGAAATGCCCTACCCGCTGTGCTATTGCACCCGCCCTTTTTTTTTTTTTTTTCTTTTTGGGTCACACCCAGAGATGCACAGGGGTTACTCCTGGCTCTGCACTCAGGAATTACCCCTGGCTGTGCTCAGGGGACCATATGGGATGCTGGGAATCGAACCTGGGTTCACCGCGTGTAAGGCAAACGCCCTACCCTCTGTACTATTGCTCCAGCCCCCCGTCCTTCTTTTTTAAAAAACCTCTGAAGCAGTGGTTGGGGACTTCTAGGGCTATACGAGGCTGTTGGAGGCTGTGTGGTGCCAGAGATCAGACTCAAGCTTGGGTCTAGCACATGGAAGGCTTCACCCTAACCCCTGTACTAAATCTCAAGACCTGACCCTGGTTCTTAATTAAGTCTGTTGGAAGTTGTGGTCCAACTTTTAAGCTGATTGGGGAGAAAGGTGAAGGCAAGTTCTCTGCCTTCTCAAGGAGGTCTCTGGGGCTGTACGATTTTCTTAGTCTTACTGAGGACTGGATGGAGCACAGAATATTTGAAAATGTCATGGATGATAATTATGAGTCTGCTTTCCAGAAAAAATGCACATATAATTAATTTGAGGTGTGATGGTGGTAGGTATTAAATTTTTCTATTCTTGGAGAACAAATAGTTTAGTAGTAGATTTATGTGTGCCTATGTGAAGTAAAATCACCTTATTGAGGAAGGGTACTAATTCTAAATGAAAATGTGATTCCTCCAGAGAGAGAAAGAGAGATCCCCATAAAATAAGGAAAAAGAAATTACACAGCCTATGCTGGGATAGGGAGTACTTATTAGTATAGTTTAAGGTCGTCCCAAGGTAATATTAAGATGTTTGAAGATTATCATTTAAATGATTAACAAGAAATAGTTAAAATTATTTTAGTTTCTGGACCTCCCAAGCAGTGCTCAGAGTTCCAGGATCCACTCGTAACAGTACTCTGACCACCAGACCATATAGTTTGGTGCTTGAACCTCTGGAGCTAGGGGCCATAGGCAGCCCTAGCAGTGCTTAGGGGCCTCTAGGGCTATACTCAGCAATGTTAGGTGTGGCCACATGGTACCAAGGGTTGAACTTTGGTTTCTGCACACACAGTGTGTGTACTTCTCACCACAAAGCATATCTGCCCTTATAATTTTTTTTTGAAGGAGGGAAAACGTTTGGACTGCGTTTGGCAGTTCTCAGGGGCTACTCCCCACTTGGTTGCTCACAAGGGTGCACGATACTGTGTGGTGTCTGGTGTCAAACCTGGGCTTCATACATGCAAAGCATGTACACTAACCCTTTGAGCTATCTCTCTAGACCTTAAAACCACTTTTTTTGCTTTTTTTGGGCAATACTCAGCAAGTGATCCTGGCTCAGTGCTCAAGGATCACTCCTGGCAGTGCTCAGGGAACCATATGTGGTACAAGGATCGACCTAAGTTCCTGCATACAAGTTGAGCACCTTACCTGCTATACTGTATGGTCCTAAAATTTTTGCCAGGGAGGGTTTTAGGCTGCACCCAGAAGTGCTCAGGACTTATTCCTAGCTCTTATCCCTTACTCAAGGATCAGTCCTGGCAGCGATTTATAAGGGGACCAAATGGGGTACCACAGATTGAACTTGGGCTGACTGCATGCAAGGCAAGCACCTTCTCACTGTGCTATCTCTCTTGCCCTTAAAGAATTTTTGTTTTGTGTTGGGGCCACAGCTGGCTGTGCTCAGGGCTTAATCCTGACCCTATGCTCAGGGATCACTCCTGGCTTGCTTGGGAGACCATATGCATGCCAGTGATTGAACCTGGAATGCAAGGCAAACACTCCACCCACTGTACTATTTTTCTAGTCCCTAAAACTTTTTAAAAAAAATATTTTGTATGAATTTTCGGGGGAATTTATAGGAGGATGTAACCTTCCCTCCCACTTTTTCTTGTTTGCTTTTTAGTCACATCCATAAGAGTGGGGCTACTCTTGACTCTGTACTCAGGAGCTCCTCTTGGAAGTACTAGAGGACAGTGTAATGTGAAGGATCAAACATGAGCATCCAGCATGCAAAGAATGAACACAAGTTCATTGAGCTATCTCCCTGACTCAGGAGAAATAACCATAAATTATGAGTATGCAGGCATATGGAGAAACTGTGGGCGATAGGAACATAAGATCAAGGGTACTAGAGTAAGGACTGAGTTAGACTAAAGGGATGTAATAGAAAGGATTCATTCTGTTGCCTCATTACTCTGAACTCCCTTTCCTTTTGCTCTAGATGACCAAAATGTTAGACTTGCTGGAAGACTTCTTAGACTACGAAGGCTACAAATATGAACGGATTGATGGTGGCATCACTGGTGCCCTGAGGCAAGAAGCCATTGATAGGTTCAATGGTGAGAAGGAACAAGACCTCAACACCTACTGGGTGGGGGAGGTCTGAGAAATTCTATGCCTGTCTTTCTGACATGGGAAGGGAACTGGTCTGGGAGGATCCTAGCCCCTTGGGCTTTTTAGTTGGGGACATGGTTGTTTATAGTCAGAGAACATCTAGGAGCAGGAAGAACAAAACTGCTTTATACAAGGAAAGCCTTACCCAGTTCTCACCTCTTAGCTCCTGGAGCCCAACAGTTCTGCTTCCTCCTATCCACCCGAGCCGGGGGCCTGGGCATCAACCTGGCTACTGCCGACACTGTCATCATCTTCGATTCTGACTGGAACCCCCATAATGATATCCAGGTGGGAACTTGTCTCTTGGAACCTCTTAGCTAACTATGTAGCAAGGAGATACCTGTTCATGAAAGAGGGTGTCAACTTTCCTGGACTCAGAAATAATCTGGGGGGTGGCAGGTAGAAATGCTCCCTTGACAAAATCCTTTCCTAGGCTTGTTGGGAGCATCTCCTCTGGCCATTGCCACTGTTTCCCACCTCTCCAGGCCTTCAGCCGTGCTCATCGGATTGGTCAGGCCAACAAGGTGATGATTTACCGGTTTGTGACTCGTGCATCAGTAGAAGAGCGAATCACCCAGGTGGCCAAGAGAAAGATGATGCTAACACATTTGGTGGTGCGGCCTGGGCTGGGCTCCAAGGCGGGCTCCATGTCCAAGCAGGAGCTGGATGACATTCTCAAATTTGGCACCGAGGAATTGTTTAAGGATGAAAATGAGGGTGAGGATCTTTTCTGCAGCTCCCCGAGAGCAGACTTTCTTTCTTGAGCACCCCTTTTCTAAAACACCCAAAGAAAAGCTGTGCTATTCTTTGAACAGTATATCTCAACCGGGGCCATACACAACCCGCTCTCCATGATATTTGAAGGGCCACAGGTGAAAATTGCATAAATGGGGAGGCACAGCACAAGGTTAGGAGGCCAGCAGGTCAGACATAAAAGGAAGCAAGAGTTGGAAGGGGGCCATGGTTGGAAAAAAGGTTGGGAAATACTACCTTAGAGAAAGGTTGGCGTCTTAGAGAAAGGTTGCCTCTTTTCTTCATTAGAATTGAAAATAACAGTGTTCTAACATGGACTCATAGGGAAATCACCTTCTCAAGCTCCAGTGAAAAGAAAACTTTTCTGCTGACTTTTCTAAAGTTCTGCCCAAGGTGCTGGTTAGAAATGAGTTCTGTCTTATGGCCTGTCTCTCCCAGGAGATAACAAGGAGGAGGATAGCAGTGTGATTCACTATGACAATGAGGCCATCGCTCGACTGTTGGACCGAAATCAGGATGCAACCGAGGACACTGACGTGCAGAATATGAATGAGTATCTCAGCTCTTTCAAGGTGGCACAGTATGTGGTGCGGGAAGAAGACAAGGTGAGAGGCTGGGGTCAGGCTGTCTGTCAGGTGTCATTTACTGAACACCACAATAGGAGTGGTCTCCTTCACTGGTTTCTTATCTGATCTCTTACCGTAGTGTCCAGCAAGAGCAGTACGGGAACTCAAAAACCATCTTAAGAGGCCGGAGCAATAGTACTATGGGTTGGGAGGGCATTTGCCTTGCATGTGGCTGATCTAGGTTCTGTCCTGGGCACTCCAAATGGTCCCCTGTCCCCTACTAGAGGTAATCCCTGAGAAAAATGCCAGGAATAATCCCTCATCACTACCGGGTATGAACACTCCCTCATATCTCCTTCCAAAAAAAAATCAATCTAATGGAAGAGATCAGACTCTGGAGAAAAATTTAGGCACAGAAAATGCAATAATCATGAAAGGGTAACTTCTGAATCAGAGCAGGAGGGATGGTGCAAAGGGCGTTAGAGGGGAGTTTTAGAAAAGAAGGAAATAAGGAGAAACATTTGCAGGACAAGGTAAGGAAATGTAATGTCCAAAAAAGTTACACAGTATTTGAGATGTAGAAGTAATGAGACTTCACGGATCTGAGAGCAGGACTAGGGATTTTGTTGGTAGAAGGACTGGGTGAAGAGAGTGAAAATGAAGCAGTGCTCATTTTGCTGCTTTTTCAGATTGAGGAAATTGAACGAGAGATCATCAAGCAGGAGGAGAATGTGGATCCTGACTACTGGGAGAAATTGCTCAGGCATCATTATGAACAACAGCAGGAAGACCTAGCTCGGAATCTCGGCAAAGGCAAGAGGGTTCGAAAGCAGGTTAACTATAATGATGCTGCTCAGGAAGACCAAGGTAAGGACCACCCCATATGGAGGAAGTGTGACAGGGAGAGTGTAGAAGAGAGGCTTGGAGGCTGGGAACCTGAGAGAGAAACAGAGGCTCAGAGAGCATGCCTTCTCTGCTGAGAGAAAGATGAGGAAAGGCCACTCTGAGCTCATTATAGCAACTAGTTTTTCAGGTAGTCTGAGCATGTTATTGATTGCAGAAGGATCCTGTACATAGCCAGGGACCCTAGCTTAGTATGCAGGTGTCAGGGGGTGACCAGAGGCAAGGTAATAAGTGGGCAAAAATTAGATTGTAGGCAATGGAGCGATAGCACAGCAGTTGGGCGTTTGCCTTGCGTGCAGCCAGCTGGGTTTGATTCCTCCGCCCCTCTCGGAGAGCCCAGCAAGCTACCGAGAGTATCTCACCCGCAGGGCAAAGCCTGGCAAAGCTACCCGTGATGTATTTGATATGCCAAACACAGTAACAACAAGTCTCACAATGGAGACGTTACTGGGCCCACTTGAGCAAATCGATGAACAATGGGAGGACAGTGACAGTGACAGTGATCCAGCATTCCAGGGAGGGTGAAGACAAGACTGAAGGTGCAGCCATCTCTGAGGGGACTCATTCTGGCAGGAAGAGCTCTGTCATGTCATGGGCTTCCCATCTATAGAGTCATCACTCACTGTGAGCCCTTTTCCTCATAGATAACCAATCAGAATACTCAGTGGGCTCCGAGGAAGAAGATGAAGACTTTGATGAACGTCCAGAAGGTGGCATTTGTTTTCCTTACCTTCCACCACAGTGCTTCTGGGCTGGTGGTTCAATTTGAAGGCCTGAGGGTGTGATGCTGCTCAGGCCCTGTGGTGCCAGGGGTTATCCAGGCGCCTTGTTGGCACTCAGGGCCCTCCAAGCCTGCACCCGGTGTTTCTTGGGAGTCTAGGCCATATGGTGCTGGGGATTGAACTGGGGTCAGCCACATTCAAGGCATGTATCTTAACCCCTATACATCATTCCAGCCATTTCAATGTCCTTTAAGGGTTTACTGGCTTTATACAACCAAATGGTTTACTATAGAAATGCTATAGATAGTAGACAAAGGTAAAAAAGAAGAAATGCCCACAGTCTCTCCACTGGTAAAGTTAGGTGTTTTTCTGTTTGTTTTTGAGATTTTGAGTTTTTTTGTTTGTTTGTTTTTTGTGCCACACTCAGGGACTACCCCGGGCTCTTTTCTTGGGGATTGCTTTTGGCAATGCTCAACAGACCATAGTGTTGCCAGGGATTGAACTTGGCCCACACACCAGCCCTTTTAAGATATCTCCTGCACCCCCACCATTAAAACTTGAAGTATTTAGCCATACAAGCTGACGTGTCTGGATGAAAGATCAAGAAAGCTTACATCATTTTATAGTCTCACCAGTAATATTGATGAATCATACCAGTCCTTCAGTATCAATTGATTCTTTTAGGTCTACTGAGTTAGTAACACTGATAGTGCATGGCAGAAAATTTGGGAGATCTCAGACACGAAACAGGCCTTCCCTGTGCCCTCTGTCTGGTGGGAAGGGGATGCTGGGAAAGATCAAAAGATATTTCAGTCTTTTTCAGTCTTCACTAACCAGGGTGACTTTCCCCAGGGCGCCGCCAGTCAAAGAGGCAGCTCCGGAATGAAAAGGATAAGCCCCTGCCTCCACTGCTGGCTCGAGTTGGGGGCAACATTGAGGTAAGAGCTGAGCCCAGATCCCCAAGTTCCCCACAGAGACAGTGAAGTGCAGATGGCTGAAAGTTGGGGCTGAGTCCCTGAGGATTGAAAGGAGCAAGACAAATCTCCTCGATATTCATTGTCCTTTCCTTCGCTGTCTTCATCGTAGGTATTGGGATTTAACACGCGTCAGCGGAAGGCGTTCCTCAATGCTGTAATGCGCTGGGGAATGCCCCCACAGGATGCCTTCACCACTCAGTGGCTGGTGCGGGACTTGAGGGGCAAGACCGAAAAGGAGTTCAAGTGAGTGTGGGTGAAACAAGGCCCAGTTGAGTGGAAGACTGAGACCTTGGGTATTACTTTCTTCCCCTTGGCCCCAGATGATGTAATCTTACTCAGCTGACCATCATGCTCTGAGCCAGTGTATGGCTCGATTTCCTGGGGGGTGGACTCAGCCTGCTCCACCTCCCCTCAGACGAGCCTAGAGCGGAGGCAGGGCTTCTTGCCTAGTAGGAGGGGTGGTCAAGAAATAAGCCTCACCTGGGCTATCCCTGCCATACATCTACTTTCCCAAGATCACCTGGCAGAGGAGCTGGTGGAAAGGATGAAAATCTGACTGATGGGGCCTGGGAACAAAATCGCAAAGCCGAGGAGATGGCGGAATATAAAGAGATAAATTGATCAGGGTGTTAATATTTGTAGGACTGATAATGTGAGATTTAGAGCAGGGAGGAGTACTAGAGGCACCCAGAGAGTTTTAGAACTCAAAGGTAAAGTACTGCTATTGTCCCAACCCCCACGAGTGCTCTGTGATCTTCCTAAAGCTCTTCTAACCCCTTTCCCATTCCATACTCCTTAGGGCCTATGTGTCTCTGTTCATGCGCCATCTCTGTGAGCCTGGGGCAGATGGCTCTGAAACCTTTGCAGATGGGGTTCCTCGTGAGGGACTAAGTCGTCAGCAAGTGTTGACCAGGATTGGAGTCATGTCCCTTGTCAAGAAGAAGGTATCAGTCTTTTCCTCACTCACCCCAATTGTTAGGTTGCCGGTGCTGTCCTTCCTAAATCTTGTATCCTGAGTTCTGAACTCAGATTGGTGTAGAATGAATCAGGAATTGGAGCTTCCTGTGTGCCCAGTGTCTGGAGCTGATTCTTGTCCCTACAACTCCCCTGCCCGCCTCAGGTACAGGAGTTTGAGCACATCAACGGGCGCTGGTCCATGCCTGAGTTGATGCCTGACCCCAGTGCAGACTCTAAGCGCTCCTCCAGAGCCTCCTCTCCTACCAAAACATCTCCCACTACACCAGAGGCTTCTGCTGCAAATAGTCCTTGTACCTCTAAACCTGGTAATCGGGTCAGGATGGTGGGAGAGACAGATGGGACCAGATTCTAGCAGTTACAGAGAATTAGAATCAGGCTGGGAAAGCTTATGCCTTCTTCACTCTGCCTTTTTCCTTAGCAACTCCAGCTCCAAGTGAGAAAGGAGATGGCATAAGGACACCTCTTGAGAAGGACGAAGTGGAAAACCAGGAGGAGAATCCAGAGAAAAATAGCAAAACTGGGGAAAAGATGGAGACAGAGGTAAGTGGCAGCTGCTAGCTTCCCTGAAAGAAGCAAAAGGGTATTGGAGGCCTGGGAGCCTCCAGTTTATCCTGACTGTTGTCTTCTTCCAGGCTGATGCCCCCAGCCCAACCCCATCACTTGGGGAGCGGCTGGAACCAAGAAAGACACCTCAAGAAGATGAGGTTCCAGGGCTACCTGGAGAGATAGAGCCTGAACTTGGGTACCAGGGGGATAGAGAAAAGTCAGGTGGGTCCATGGCCTCGGGTGATGAGAGCTTAGTCTTTGGGGCTCCCTCTTCTGGGGTGAGGGGATGAGGATTACATCTTCCTGTCCTATCCTTTACCCCCTCCAGCACCACAGTGTTGATGTCAAGAGCAAGGGGGAAGGAGAAGCTCTTGGATGGATAGGAACATAGGGAGAGACTGGAGGGGGAAACGGGATTTGGGCAAGAGCGGTAATGGGTGGAAGGACTGGACATCTAACTACCAGGAGGAATTATGGGCAGCAGAGTCTGGGGGACCAAATTCCTGGATCCTGGGTAGTTATTCCAAGAGCCAGTACAGTATAGGGAGTAGTAACGGGATCTGGCAGAGGACTGCCAAGGACTGCCTCTATGAGCACTGCCCTGTCTGTCCTAGCAGAAGATATCAAAGGGGACAGGGAGCTTCGACCTGGGCCTCCTCGTGACGAGCCACGGTCCAATGGGAGACGGGAAGAGAAGTCAGAAAAGCCTCGGTTCATGTTCAATATTGCAGATGGTGGTTTCACAGGTGAGGCGCCTCATTACCATTTTTCTTCGCTGGCATTTTCTCGTTCTCATGGGTTTGTTATTTTGCCTGAGGCTTTCTATTGCCTTTAATTCCTATTGAAGCTTCTAATGAATAGGGAATGCTGTTCCTAGTCTTGTTCTCAGATGAACTTAAGTATTCTCCTGATTCCAAATTTAATTTTGACTTTATTCTTAACTCTAACTTATGCCTTATTTGTAACTAATTTTACTTTTAACCCCCAATCTGATGTTTACTTAAATTCATTTTATAAAGCCCTTAGTCCTCTACCACTATTGAATTCCCTAATCTAAACTTCTTTGTTGGACTGAATGTGGTCAGCAAACTCCTGATTTCTCATTCACCTACTGTTCTCTCTTCAGAGCTTCATACTTTGTGGCAGAATGAAGAACGGGCAGCTATTTCCTCGGGGAAACTTAATGAAATCTGGCATCGACGACATGATTATTGGCTTTTGGCTGGGATTGTCCTGTATCCTTTGATTCAAATGCAAGGTGGGAGGGGGCGGGGGCAGTGCTCGGTATGGGAGGGAAAGAATTTGGAGAGAAGGGAACTATAGAGACCAGTCCAAAACCAGGGAAGGGATTGAGTGCCATATTTGGTGCTTGCTTTTTAGTGGGAGTTGTCCTCCACCGGTTTGAGTGCCACCACGGACACACCCAGCTGTGCTAGGGATGCTGTGTGGTGCCGGGTACTGAACCCATTGACCCTCTACCTGACAGACATGTGCTCCAGCTCTTTCAGCTATCACCCTGGCCCCTATGCCACACTTTGGAGTGATCAGGTCAAAAGACAAAAGAGTTCATAGCTCCAGCCTGTCCCTGTATGTTCCTTGATGGTCTCCTTGTATATCTACAGCCATGGCTATGCACGGTGGCAGGACATCCAGAATGATGCTCAATTTGCCATTATCAATGAACCATTTAAAACTGAAGCCAATAAAGGGAACTTTCTGGAGATGAAAAATAAGTTTCTGGCCCGGAGATTCAAGGTGAGGATGAGGGCGGAAAGAATATTATTGGAGAGGAGGTTAGATCAGAAGTTAAACCAAATCTTACTGGAATCTAGAAGATTAATGCCTCCACAGTTGAGGAGAGGGCTGAGGCCAGGATGGGAGCTTAGCCTTGCGGTTGGCATTGTGGTCTAGTTTGGGGTTTGATGCTGGGCTTGTAGCAGTTTTTGTATGAAGCCGGGATTGTTGTAAATTAGCAGTGAGGACAGTATGGTACTCCACTACTGCATGTGGTCCCCCACCCCGCCCCCCCATCCACTCGACTACTGCTGACAGCTCCTTCTGCATTCGCTTCTCCATGCCTCAGCTCCTGGAGCAGGCGCTGGTGATTGAGGAGCAGCTGCGGCGGGCGGCCTACCTGAACCTATCACAGGAGCCGGCACACCCCGCCATGGCCCTCCATGCCCGCTTCGCCGAGGCCGAGTGCCTGGCCGAGAGCCACCAGCACCTCTCCAAGGAGTCGCTGGCGGGGAACAAGCCGGCCAACGCTGTCCTGCACAAGGGTAAGGGCCGCGGCGGCCCCGCGCGGGGGAGGGCCCACAACGCTGCGTAAGTCTTCACCCCGCACCCCTTAAAATCTTCCCACCCCTGTGACCCCTTTACCCTCTGAACCAACCCCCCCTCCAACCTCTAACCCCACCCTAGCATCTGGCATCACTTGGTTTTTAGCCTTTAGAACTTGTGCAGCCAGTCCTTATCTATGCCTAAAAGTCTTCACATTGACATTGAGGGACCTGCCCCCCCAGATTTTGGGGACTGCCATGTACCCTTCATTGGGTAGAATGTTACACTGAACATTTTGTGCCATATTGCTAATAGCACTCTTTCTGGGGCCTGACCTATTTGTAGCCTACAAAAGTCTTTCCCCCCAACCCTGCAGATCACATTCCCTTACATTTTCATTCACCTCATGAGGCAGTAACTACCTCCATCCCATGCTCTGAACATCTCCCATGAAATTTCCCTTGGACCTTCAACCCTTGCTCCCACACCCTCCTACCCTAATAATATTAGATTAAATTCCGAAGTTCTCTAACCAGTTAATCCTACCTGATGCCTGATGTAGTCTAGTCCCCTTGGTTCCTATTGTAATTCCTTATATTTGTAATGCCAACCTTTAACCCCCATCCTTAGACATTAAAATCTTAGTTCTTTAGATCTTTGACACCACTTCCCACTTCCCATACCTCCTGACTGTTTCCTCCCCGTTATCCCCAACCCCCAAACCTCAGTCTTCCAGTATGGGATGTTCTGACAACTCCCTGCCCCCATGTTTTCCAATGTCTTCCCCATTTCCCTTTTCTCCACGTTCCTTTTCCTTTATCTCTGTCTGTCCTCTGGTAATCTGGACTCTCTGCCTCTTTACCTCATACTTACCCCTTTTCCTAAATTGCTCTCTTTTTCTGTCTACTTCTGTCATTTTCTTGGTCTCTGGTTCTTTGGCACTGTTCTCTTTCCTTCTCTGACTATATCTATCTGACTCTTCATCTCTTTTCCTGGCTCCATCTTTCCCTTTCCGTCTTTCTCTTGCCCTTCTTTCTCCGTGGCCCGGGCCCCAGTTCTGAACCAGCTGGAGGAGTTGCTGAGCGACATGAAGGCAGACGTGACCCGCCTGCCAGCCACGCTGTCCCGAATACCCCCCATCGCAGCCCGCCTTCAGATGTCCGAGCGCAGCATTCTCAGCCGGCTGGCCAGCAAGGGCACGGAGCCTCACCCCACACCGGTAACCCTCTTTCCCCCTAACTTGTTTTCCCTATTGGAACTCCTGTACACATACAAACACGTCCATCAGCATCCTATACAATATGGAAAACAACTTGCTCGAACACACCACGCTTGAGTCTCCCTTGCCTGTATGTTACCTCCCTCGGTAGTTCTCAAGTTCAGCCCATAGTAGCTCCTGAACAGCTTCTTTAACGCTCGGAGGCTACAGATTCTCTGACTGCCACTTACTTTTCTATTCCAGGCCTTCCCCCCGGGTCCCTACGCCACACCTCCGGGGTACGGGGCAGTCTTCAGTGCCGCATCCGTAGGGGCCCTGGCCGCCGCAGGCGCCAATTACAGCCAGATGCCTGCAGGGTCCTTCATAACAGGTCAGCTGGTGGCTTCCTGCTCCTTGCTCTCCCATTCCTTCTTTTCCGAGTTTCATCCATGCTCAGCTGCCCTTTTACTGCTTTACTGCTTTAGCCCATCACATTTCCTTGGAAGTAGCCAGTGTTTTGTGAGGAGAAATTGCCTGGGCTTTGCTCTTCCCTTCCCTTTTTCTGGTTTTCTCTATTTTTTTTAAGTATTTGGGCCACACCTGGAAGTGCATGGTGGCTACTCCAGCTAAGTGCTTAGATCGTTTCTGGTGGTGCTCAGGGGATCTTGTGGTGCCGGGTTCGTTGAACCTGGGACTTCCACATGCAAAGCACGAGAGCCCTTTGAGCTAGTTCCTTGGTCCTCCAATCCCTTTAACTTCATTTCCATTCCCATCATTAGAAACCTCATCCAAGACTTCATTGACTCTGTCACGTGATATCGCTTACCGAAGCCTCCTTTTTATTTTACTTCAGGGATATCAGAAGGGGGGTGGCATATAGTGAGAGTTGGAATATGTTTTCATCGTGCGACATGGGGGTAATCTCAGGGAGAGGATCACAGTGAGAGAACTCTCACTATCTTCTCTCTCATACTCCGGAAACTTGGAAGCAGCATGAAATGACCTATAGTAAGTGTATTTTATAGCCAGAAAGCCATCGTTGGGACTGAAGTAGGGATTGATCCTTCCTTACTCCCTTCCTAAACAGCCGCCACCAACGGCCCTCCAGTGCTGGTGAAGAAGGAGAAGGAAATGGTGGGGGCATTGGTGTCAGACGGGCTGGATCGGAAGGAGCCCCGAACCGGGGAGGTGATCTGTATAGACGACTGACTGGATCCCATGCCTGCCCTTCAGCCAGGCCGCGTCCCCGAGGCCGACCCCCAGCTCAGGCTCTGATGCCTGCTGCCAATCCTCCACCTTCCCCACCCCTTGGGCCACCACTGGGCTAGTAGCCCCTTTACCCCTCTACAACTCTTCTCTTCAAGAAGGGCCTGTTCTCTTTGTTCACTCCCCTGTACCTTTCCCACCATGCTTTGAAGACAGTGTTGGTGAGAAGAGGTCTGAATAGGGAAGTGGTATTAGCAGGGCCTTCCAAGTCCCTTTGTCCCCTGCCGCCAAACATACACAGCTTCCTAATAAATGGTTGTGGGGAGGAATGAGGTGAAGCCTCCCCAGTCTTTATTCCTGCAATGTAAGCTTCATCTCCTGCAGAAGTGGGGTATTAGCCTTGCTTGGCCTTCAGAAACTTTGGTGGGGAAAAGAACTCTGAAGAGAGAAGGGGGACTTTAGAGAGGGACGAAGTGAGTCCTGGGAGGGGGAGGAAGGGAAGAGGAGGGGTGGCTGCATGTTTCTCCCCCTACCTCTCCCCAGATAAGAGAGTGGAGCAGCTACAAGGGAGGGAGTCAATTGCTGTTCTGCCTGAGAATAAAGGCGCCATTCACTGGCTGTTACCTCCTGCGTACTGGCATCTTGTGTTGGGAATTTCCCCCTCCCTGGGGAACAAGGATGACCCCCCCACCCCCCAAGGATATTGAGTGATATTCCCTCAAGCCAAAGAGGAGCCCTCCCAATCTGTCCTAGGGACCAAAATAACCTAGAAAGAGTGGGAGGCAGCAGCAGGCCAATTGTGGACTCCCTTAGTTCTGGAGCTCGGGTTCTTGGAAGACTTCTACCTTCCATCCTGAAGGCCAGGATAAGGACTGAATATGAGTGGTTCAGGCGGGGGGTGGGGGCGGGGGGCAGGGGGCCTACTGGTGGGGGGAGGGGGGAGACTACCTTGTCTTGGGACCAGAGCAAAACAGTGGAGGGCAGACTGGAGAGAGACGGGCACACTGTCCTCTCCAGGAGGGGCCAGGAGAGTGGCAGTTTGCATGGCGAACCCCCCACTTCCTCTTCACTGCCCCTTCACTTTCTTGCTGCCCCCTTCCCCGTCTCTTTACACCCGTTCCTGGTCTGTCCCAATCCCCTCTTCTGTATCAGGTTTATTGGTTGTACATATAAATTATACTTTCCTTTCCGTGTGCTGTTGTATTTTTTTTTGAGTATGGGAGTTCTTTATTTGGGGGGAAAGATAAGAAAGGGTGTTGCTTTCTGTCATTTCATAGTATCCCATCTTTTTCTCTTTTAAAAATCTTGTGAGTTTTCCTTATTCTTATTTCTTGGGTCAGCTACTAAATCTCCAAGTCTCCTCCCAACCCCTGTGTGTAAAGCTCAGTGTAGAGAAGGGTGGTGAGCAGCAGGATCCCTAGCTGGGCCCAAGGTTGAAATCAGAGAGACGGCATGGCTTACCCAAAGAAGGGAAGTGGGAGAGACGACGATGAGATTCGGAACGGCTTTCCATTTATCCTTTGGTCCTCCTTTCAACCTACAAATTGCTCAGTCCCCCTCAGAGTCAGTAGAGGTCACTATAGCCCCGTGGGTTCAGTTCCAAGAGCGTACAACACAGGCTTTTTTTTACCCCCCTCATGGGGCTGAGGTCTTATCTGCACAGGCTGTCAGAGATCTGAAGGGTCAGACACTTGAGATATATAGCTCACAAGCAGAGCTCTATGGATGAGACACCGGAACTTAATTCGAGACATATTAAGAAAAGATTAAAAAATTTATTGAATAAATACTGTACAGTAACACTGGCTCTGTAAATAGCAGCCATTCATTAGTCATTGTTCTCATACAGCTTACACTTTAATGAAGGATATGTACAACACAATAATAAAAAGCAATGAAAACTCATATACCCTGGTGAGGAAAGGGGCTACCCTGGGTAGAATGCTGAGGAAGGACCCTCAAACGAAGGAACAATCAAGTCAAAGAGAAAACTGTCAAAATACTGATTATACAGTCTGAAGTTGTACTTAAAAGTTCACACTTTTGACTCAGGAAAATGCAATATAACAAACAAGAAAATACAAAGAATTTAGATTTCTTCATAACAGAGTGTTACTTTAGAACCTCTGATAAGGTTCATCATTTATTCCAGTGTTTCTCAAAGGGGGGCCCCCAGCTGAAAATTCCACAAACGAGTGGCCACAGCCATGATTAGGGAGCCCACAGTTAGGATGGGGGATCCATAGGAAGGAAACAAGATTAAAAGTGGGTCACAGTTAGAAAAGATTGAGAAACACTGATTTATACCAACTGGCTTTCTTTGGAAGGGTGAGGGGAGGTCACACGTGGTGGTGCTCAAGACCTACTCCTATCTCTGTGCTCTGGGATTATCTCCATGCCTTGGCAGGGCTAGGGGGACGTATGTGATACCAGGGATCAAACCTTAGTTGGCTGTGTGCTAGGCAAACATCTTCTGTACTGCAAATGGCATTTTGGCAGATGAGGTACCCTCGGCTGTGCTTAGGACCTGGGAAAAGCCCTGAGACTCCAGCATGTCAAGTATGTGCTTCAGTCCTTTGAGTCATCACCCTGGCCCCGTACCAATTGTGTTTTACATATCCCACCAAGACATGGTAAAGTCCTAGAGTCTAGGACCTGAAACAATGCTTAATTTTTTTCTTTTGGATTTTTGGGCCATATATTCAGTGATGCTCAGGGGTGACTTAATTCCTGTACTGTCACTCAGCTTCTTTTTATTTTTTTGCTTTTTGGGTCACACCCAGCAATGCACAGGGGTTACTCCTGGCTCATGCACTCAGGAATTACTCCCGGCCGGTGCTCAGAGGACCATATTGGATGCTGGGAATCGAACCCCAGTCGGCCCCGTGCAAGGCAAATGCCCTACCCGCTGTGCTATCTATCTCTCCAGCCCCAAATTCTAGTTGTTTATTTTGTGCTTTTTGGGTCACACTTGGCAATGCACAATGCGCCTAGCTCATGAACTCAGAAATTACTCCTGGAAGTGCTCAGGGGACCATATGGGGTGCTGGGAATTGAACCCGGGTCAGCTGCATGCAAGGCTGCATGCAAGGCAAATCTAGCCCCTTCATTTTTTTTTTCTATGTGGACACACCATCTGGGATTCTTGTTAAAATACAAATTCTGATTGACAGACTCTGAAGTCCATTTCTGAAATTCTGCACTCCAATAAGTTCCCAGTGATACTGCTGCTATTGGTCCCTGATTATACTAATGTAAGATATTTAGAGGATTAAACAATGGAAACCATGGCATAAAATACTTGATTTCTGATCATGAAACACAAGTTTAAAATTGTGTTATTTTTTCAATAGTATGTTCCCGTAATGTAAAGATAACCAAGATATCAAAAGTTTAGAACCTTTGGGGACTAGAGAGATGGTACAGGGGTTAAGGCACTTGCCTTGCACATGGTTGACCCTGGTTTGATACTCAACACCTCATACAGTCTGAGCACCACCGGGTATGGTCCAAACACCAAAAGATAAATAAAAATTGAAAAGTTTACTGTGACTTGTTGTTACTGTTTTTAGCATATCGAATACATCACAGGTAGCTTGCCAGGCTTTGCCCTGCGGGCGAGATACTCAGTAGCTTGTGGGGCTCTGAGAGGGGCGGGGGAATTAAATCCCCGTCTGCCACATACAAGGCAAATGCCCTACCCGCTGTGCTTTTGCTCCAGGGGGCTGGAGTAATAGTACAGCAGGTAGGGTTGTTGCCTTGCATGTGGTCGACTGGGTTTAACCCCTGGTACCACATATGGTCCCTTGAGCCAAGCAGGAGTGATCCCTGAGCAGAGAGGAGTAAGCCCTGAGCACCACTGAGTGTGGCCCGACCATCTGCTCCCAAATATTACAAAACAGAAAAATAAATATTTTAAGGCTTGCAATTGTTTGGTCCCTTTACCTTTTATTCTTGATGATGCCTCATAAATGCCCTCATAGGACAAAGAAGCTTTGCAATAGTTTTAGAAACACAGTACTGGGTTAGGGGGAAAGGTAAGCCTTACCAGTACTGAGCGGACAATAGAACTCTTTTCAGCCAGCTCGGCACATGCTGGAAAATGAGATTAACACATGAAAACTAGCCTTTCCATCTATTTAAAAAAAAAAAAAGGCATGGACACAGAATTGCTATTGCTCCCACACAGAGCTGCCCTGGACAAAAGCCAAAGTCACAGCTACGGAAAGTCTGCCATCTTCCCCCGGGAACATAGTGTGTTTCAACCATTCTAGGCCACTCCGGGATGGTGGAGTGTAAGACGCGAATACAAAAATCTGGCAGTCAGAAGATGGGGGAAATCGGCTAGGAGCCTCCCTAGCTTAACATCAACCACCTTCCTGCGTGTTCTCCTGCCCTTGGCTCAACTCCCTCATCATGTCAATGCAGGCTGCGAGGGGTAGTTCTGGCATCTGGCTGCCAGGTCCAGGATTGCAGCTCCCACCTTCCTCGGGCCTTCGGCTTCCCGGGCCCTCCGTTACAGCGTGCAGCTCGTCATGTGGGCCAAGTCCTTGATCTCCGGACAGTACAGCACTAGGGAAAGAAAGATTGGGAAAGGGGATGAAAGCGTCGCGCCCTGCCTTCCTGGGCGCCGCCCCCGCCCCCGCCGTGCCCGTGGGTGCCCCCCTCACCGTGGCAGGGCAGCTGCCGGCGCCAGCGCCTCGAGGAGGCCTGCAGGGCGCCCCAGACCCGCCGCAGCGCGCGCCAGCCCGCGCCCCTGGGCGCCGCCGCCGTCGCGTCGCTGCCGTCTGGGGCCTCGCCGCTCCCCGCCTCGGCGGCATCGCTGGCGGCCGGCGCCCGTTTCTCCAGCCGCGACCAGACCTCGGAGTCGATCGCGACGTCCGCGACCCCGCCGCGCGGGAGCGGAGTGGGCGCGCGGCAGAAGGGGCACGTGACGACGCGGCGCAGGCGCACCACGCGCGCGGCCGGCCCGGCGCCGTCGCCGCGCGCCGCCAGCTCGCGCAGACAAGCGGTGCAGAGCGTGTGGCCGCAGCGGGCGCGCGCCGTGCCGGGCAGGCGGCGGGGCGCGCGGCCCTCGAGGTTGAAGGGCAGGTAGCAGATGTTGCAGTCCAGCTCGTCCCGCTCGGGGAGAGATGGCACCCTCATCAGAATCTGCATGGTCCGATTGCGGCGGCAGGGGCGTCGCTCGGAGAAGAGCTGCTATCCCTCCTCGTGGCGCGGGTCGGCTTTTGGGGCTCGCGCCGCGCCTTCTTGGCCCTTTTAACAGGGAGCCCCCGCCCCTTGGGACGTCTGACGGTGGTCAGAACGTGACCGAGCCGCTCCCTTTTTTGGCATGCATGGAGGCGGTGGAGGCGGGAGGCCTGGAATGTTAGCGATGGGAGGTTGCCCAAGTGATACTAGGATCTGGGCCGTGGGAGGCAAACCACCCCGTGGTTCCTCCTTGCCTTCCTTCGTCCCTCAACTCTAGGTAACACGCCTTTCTTCTACTGTGTGCAAATCCCCAGGTCTCTTTCTGCTCCCCAGCCCTCAGCCTCTGGAGTAGGTGTTCCCACGCTCCCATTGCTTCAGCCCGTCATTTCACAACCCCAGTGAAGACCAAGCTTTCGTGGGAGGTCTTGACATTGGGGCTAATGATGCCTAGCAGTGACTCATTCTTTCCTCAGTTCTCCTTACTATAATACATATTTGTTCTCTCCAACTGCACAACTCCTGCTGACATCTCAGCCTAAGGAGAGACCTAGATCCCAAGAACCATGGCTTTAGGTATGTTGGGAATCCTTTGCTTCGGGAATGGCCAGGCCTGGACACCCACACATCATGATGATTTCAGCAAAGCTCCCAGCATGAATTCTGACTCAGGGGTCTGACTTCCCCCACGGGTAAACAGGATCTAATACTCAGCCCACATTCCGTCATTAGACCACACCTAGCCCCAGCTGCCTTCTGCCTCTTCTCGTGGACCTGCAGGCCAGGTTCTGTTGTGGAGGTTCATAGCACAGATTAAAGCCAATTGGCTTGAGTTCAAATCCACCACCACTACATACTAATTGGAACATTTTGAGCAGCTTCTCAGACTTTGGTTTCCTCATCTATACAAGGTGGATAATAACAGGATTGAATGAGCTTTTATATGCAAGATGCTTAGAATGTTGTAAGCTTCAGGTAAGTATATTTTTATTATCCTGTCTGCCCAAGCTATACTGTATTCAATAAACCTGTCAGTATCCAACATTTCAGAACCCACTTTCTTGGTCAATACGTGTCATTGCCATATAATTTGTAGATAATAATAAACCATCACATTAATCTTGCTTTTTAAGTGTTTTTAAAACTTTACAGGGTAAATTTTATAAGGTGTACCATCATTATTTAATATATACTTTTTTTTTCTTTTTGGGTCACACCCAGCAATGCACAGGGATTACTCCTGGCTCTGCACTCAGGAATTACTCCTGGAGGTGCTCAGGGGACCATATGGGATGCTGAGAATTGAATCCAAGTCGGCCACGTGCAAGGCAAATGCCCTACCTGCTGTGCTATCGCTCCAGCCCCCTATAATTCTCTTTTTATTTTGTTAAATTTTGCCACTGTTGTTATGGGGACCACACCAGGAAGTGCTTGGGTTTGTGCTCTACCAATTAAGCCACGTCCCTGGTCAAAGGCATGTCATTCTTTCTAAGCAAAATATTTATAATCTTTTTCTTGGGTGGTTACATCACTGAACTACATCAGTCTGTATTCAGAGCATACTTCTGGCTCTGTGCTGAGTGGTGCTAGGGGTTGAACATGGTCAGACTTTATGCAAAACACATGTTTTAACACTCCGTACATCTCTCTAGCCCCAATGAATCTGTTGTATTATATTCATGCTCACGAAGCTAATTCCTTTGATGCTGCATAATTCAGCACCTTTTTAATAATCTTGCCTTTGGAAAAGTGTTGAGAGATCTCACATTTATATGTTTTCACATGGTGATGAATCTTTTAAGGCATATCTGATTATATAAATGCTACCAAAATGTTTGATAGTCAAGGCTTCCAAGTCCAAGACCCAACTTTCAAGTTTCTTGCTCAACTCAATTATTTATCTTCAAGAAGGCAAACAAACATGATCTACCTGAACAAATGTGCATTTAAGTGTTCCTTTTATTTTTCTTTATCCAACTCCAGAAACTAGATATGATCCTAGGCCTCCTCCTCTTATCCTCTTATACCAACTTATCACCAGTCTCAAGTTTATTATACCTCCTAAACATTACTCTGATTTACCGATTTTTCTTCATATCTAGTACATCACCCTAGTCCAAGCTGCAGTCCTTTCTTGCTTAGGTTCTGGAAGAACCACATGTCTCAACTGGGGGCCATGTGAACCCTCCTCCCCAATCCAGGATATTCCAAATGGCAGCAGGTGAAAAATGCATAAATGAGGAGCCATGGCATGAAACTTGGTGTTCAACCTGTAGGGGTGGAGGCACAGGAAGGAAAGAAGGCTGGAAGGGGACCATGATTGAAGGGGGGTTGAGAAACATTGTAGTGGAAGCATCTTAACCAGCCTATGCATAGATATTCTGACTTTCTGCAGTCTTCTCTGCACTGATCCAAACCCAATCATATTATATTTACCATGCCCGTTTTAAATCACTTAATGCAGTGATATCTGATAGTCTCAAGTTCCTATGCAATATGATATCGATGCTTCTCCTATAAATACTGGAGTCGTAGGGGATCTAGGAGATGACTCTGGATAGAGCATCTGCCTTGCAAACATGTAACTGTGAATTTGGTCCCTGGTCTTGCCTGCATGTGTTGAGCATGATCCTGGCAGCTCTGCTGTTTATGCCTGGCAGCTAACAAGCTGTTTCAGGCTTCACAAGGATACAGCCCAGGACAAGCATGATAACTGAAAGATGTGCAAGAACCACAACCAGGAGTATGACCCCTGTGAAGCACCATGGTCAAGTATGTGAGCAATACAACCTGATGTGCCACTTCAGAACTAAGCCTACGCGGGACTCTTGTTGTCACAAAAATACCAACAGAGGGAGAATAGAGGAGATAAAATTTGCTTAATTTGAAATTTAAAGTTTAAAAACAATAAGGCCAGGGAAGAGAGGCGAGAGGGCTAGAATCCTGGGTTGGATTCTTGTCACTACATGGTCACCCATGCTCTGCGGAGAATGATTCCAGAGCACTGATTGGTGTGGCCCAGAAACAAAATAATTGGGGTCTAGGGTCCAGGGACATGGCTCAGAGATATGTCTTGCCTGCCTTCCCTCACATCACCCCACATTACCAAGTGCAGTCCCTGGCACCACCATTGTGATCCCTGGCACCACAATAAGTATGCAACCCTGTCATCATACAATATAGGGAAGGGAAAGAATGAAAGAATCGGGATATATTCCCCGTGCTTTGATTGGTTTTTGTTTTGTTTGGGGACCACACTTGGCTGTAGTCAAGGCTCTCACCTAGTTCTGTGCTCAAATATCAATCCTGGCAGTTCTCAGGGGATCGTGTGGAATGTCAGGAATCAAACCTGGATCAGCTGCATACAAGACAAGTGTCTTACTTGCTTTATTGTCTCTCTAGCCTTCTCTGCTTTGAATCTGGAAACCCTGTGACTTGGGTTAATGTGGCATGACTGATTTGTGAGTTCTAGATTCTTGTCCTTCAGAGGCCTTGTAGCTTCTGTCTTTGTCCTTTTGGAAAGCTGCCCTGGGACCACCATGTAAGGAAATTTACTAGCCTACGGCCTGCACTTAAGAACCAAACATAGGGGCTGGAGCAATAGCACAGTAGGTGGGGCGTTTGCCTTGCACGCGGCTGATCCGAATTCGATTCCCAGCATCCCATATGGTCCCCCAAGCACTGACAGGAGTAATTTCTGAGTGCATGAGCCAGGAATAACTCCTGTGCATTGCCGGGTGTGATCCAAAGAGGAAAAAAAAGAGAGCCAAACATACCAGTGATGCCATCCTAGATTGTCCTGCTTTGTTAATTTGTCCTGCTTTGTTAATTTACATGCATGAGAACAGGTTGAAACAGGAAACCCCCACCCAGTTTACAGAATCGTGGGGAAAATATTTGTTTCGGGAGTTGGGGGGAGGCAGGGAGATAGGACAGCGAATAGGTGTTTGCTTTTCATGCTACTGACTGGGGTTTGATCCCTAGCATCCCATGTGATCCCCCAAGCATCACCAGGAATAACCCTGATTGCAGAAGCAGGAGTGACCCCTGAGCAATGCGAGGTTTGGCTCAAAAACAACAACAAAATTGTTTTAGGGCTGGAGATGTAGCCGAGGAGGTAAGGCACCTGCCTTGCATGTGGCTAACCTGTGCTCCATCCCTGGAACCCCATAATGGTCTCTCAGTCCCACCAGGACTGATCCCTGTGCCAAGAGTAAGCCCTGATGGTAGGAGCAAAGCTAGATAAGTGAGCACAGCTGAATGTGACCCAAAACCATAAAAAGAAAAATTTGTTTCAAGTCACTAGATTTAGGTGGTGATAGAATAGAAAATCAATAAACTAGAGTGTTTCCTACTGTCCTTAGGAGAAAGATACTCTTTTAAAATGCCCTAGACATTCCTGTGTGTTCTGAAACCACCCATGTCTCACCTTTCTGCTTCAATTAGGTACTCCGAGGCTTTTCATTTGCACCTTACTTTCTGGTACAAGGATTTTGAGTGTGCCGTTCCCCTAGCTCCTTTTGCTTTCCTAGGTACACCTGCTCGATCGTCACTTCAGTGCAACCTCGCCATGTCAAATACCTGATGTGACTTTGCTAACACTACATATTTTCTTCTGAATTTGGGATGGGTTTTTTTGGCTTTTTGGGTCACACTCAGCAATGCACAGGAGTTGCTCCTGGCTCTGCACTCAGCAATTACTCCTGGCGGTGCTTGATGGACCATATGGGATGTGGGGAATCGAACCCGGTTGGCCGCATGCAAGGTAAATGCCCTACCCGCTGTGCTATTGCTCCAGCCCTGAATTTGCGGTGCTTTGTCTCTTCCATACGTAAGGTCCAGAAGCCTGTTTGCCTTTGTGTTTTTGTGCAATAACCATATTAGTAATCAATATATAAGTAATCTGAGCTATATCCCTGACTGATCATTACTTTAAATTTTTTTGTTGGGAAGGGGTTTGGGTCACATGTAGTAAGTGTTCGGGGGCTACTCCATATGGCTGTGGAGTGAAGGCTCACTTATGGGGACCTGCCTGCCTTTTTAGCTTCTCACCCTGCAGAAGGTCATTATTACCAGACTGGTCATCTCCTCCAGCTCCTGTTCCATGACTGAAGAATGCTGACTCCCTGGTCACGATGGATTCCAACTTCCAGAGGGTTTGCTGAGTTGGGCTGCAATGCCTATGTGTAAATCTGGGAATGGCTGGGGTCAGAGGGGACACAGCAGCACGACTGTGTGGACAGTCGTGTGGACAGGCCCGGATGCCCCACGGCTGTTGTGGGACAGGCTGGATCTTCTGGACTTGTCTTATTTTTTTGCTTTTGGGTCACACCCAGCGATGCACAGGGGTTACTTCTGGCTCATGCACTCAGGAATTAGCCCTGGTGGTGCTCGGGGGACCATATGGGATGCTGGGAATCGAACTTGGGCCGGCCGAGCAAGGCAAACACCCTACCTGCTGTGCTATGGCTCTAGCCCCACCTGGACTTGTCTTAACCCTGAGCTGACCTTCACCCTTGAGGTCCATTATTCCTTTCAACCGACTTTTCAAAATCATATATAAGTTTCCATCAGTCTTAGAAAAAAAAAGAAAGGATAGAATATAGTCCTCCCATATGCAAAGCATACAATCAGCCCACTTCCTAAAATTAATGAACAAAGATGAATAAATGAGATGTGACAATAAGCAATATTTTTTTGTTTTGTTTTGTTTTTGTGCGTTTGTGGTTTTTGAGCCAGGGGTGCTCAGGGCTTACTCCTGATTCTGTACTCAAGGGGTCACTCCTGGTGAGGCAGGGGGACCCTCTGGGGTGCCAGGGATGGAGCAGAGGTCAGCTGTGTGCAAGGCAAGTGCCCTACCCAGCCCCCAAACGGTTTATTACAGAAGGTTTCTAAGCTGCCTCTGAAAGTAACTCTAAGAGGATTTTTTTGTAGTGTTTTGAGTAATGGGGCAGCACCATTAAAATAAGTGCATTATTTTTCGTTATTTTTGGCACTTATTTTGAAGAGTCCTATTTTGAATTTATAAGTTCTTTATGTTTGTTACAGAATAACTAATCATAATTTAGTCATACATTTTACCTCTTTGTTTCCTCCACAGTCTTCCAAAATGAGTGGGAGATGATAGGAGTGGATGTAAGTACTCATTAGTTTATCCGGTTGGTTGCTAATCCAGTAAATGGCATACTGCTGACTATTCTCTTTTGGAAAACAGTTTTACTCTGTTCTCTGTTTTAGGACCAAGGAAGGATGAGAATAGAGAGAAGGAAAATGGTGAGGTTGTATTTTAAGAAAAGCAGAGCTCATCCTTCTCTGTCTTGTGATCTTTAAAGGTTGTAACTTTCCACCCACTTCCTGTCCTTGGAAAATTAATACTTTGGGGAAGAATAAAGTGCAGTATCTGACATAACTGTTTAATTTTCCACTCTAACACCCTGACATCACATCTTTCATTTGTTTTAAAATAATTCCTTTCGGGGCTGGAGAGCTAGTACAGTGGGTAGGGTGCTTGCCTTGAACGCAGCCAACCCGGCTGATTCCTGGCATCCTATCCCCAGAGCACCTCCAGGAGCAATTCCTGAGTGTATAGCCAGGAGTAATACCCTGAGAATCACCAGCTATGTTCCCCCCACCCAAAAAAATCCCCCAAATAAATAAATAGAATAAATCCTTTCTCTATCATCTCAGTCCATTTTCACTTATCTGTCCTCCCTGGAAGCATCAACCTAGAAAAGTCCCTCCCCCTCAGTCACAAGAAAACCATCCAGATAGTTCCTTATATGTGTGTGGGCATCAGGTAACAAGGAAGTAATAAGTTTAAAGACAGTATAACCAATATAACTTTAAAAGCAATGCAAGGACAAGTGTTAGAGGGAGTAGCAACAAACTATAAAGCCACATCTCTGGGTTTCAGGAATATGGCTACTGATGGAGAGAAGAAAACTGGGGCTTGAGATGTTTGGGTGTGGGTTACTGAAATGAGTGTGGGAGAGAAAGCTGGTCCACAAGCCAGACTGAGATACTTAGATCCTAACCTCCCAACGCCTTCAGTCGGACACAGGTGAGTGAGGATCAAGCTGAGATTTTATTTACAGTTCCATCTGAAGTCTTACAGAGCAGGGGCAATCATTATTGCTTTAAGATTATTGCCAGGAGGAAGAATGCAGGCCTCTACTGCCAGGGAGGAAATTTGCTGAAGGCTCAAAAATCTACCCCTCAAACATTTCCACCTTAGCCCCATCCATGTGTGCTATGACCATGCCACTATTTGTGCGAAGCACTGCCAACTTTGCTTTCCAAGGATTACCCTGACTGCCAACAGACTCCCCTCCACCTTCCTCAAGGCTGTGGCAGAACTCTTGGCAGAACAGAATATTAACACTAGATGGAGTTTCAACCGCCCTCAACCTCCTGGCTGGGAGGCAGGGTCCTGGTTTCCGAAAAAGAATCATTCACTTCCTGCCAGGACCAGCCTGGCTTCCTTTGTACGGAAAAACTTCAAAGCCCCATTTCTTTTGTCCCATAAGACATCATAACTCTCTTATTAGCTTATGATCCCTTGATATTTCAAGGCTCTACTTTGGAGGTTCCCAGCATGTTTCTTGAAATTTTTTCTCTGGGCCTTGGCGGTTGAGGAAAGGAAGAAGGGAGCGAGACCAGGTGGCAGATAAGTGCGGCCCAGTAGCTCATGCCCGGAATAGCAAGAAGGCCTAGGAAAACGCCGCCGGGGCGAAGGACTACTTTTTCTTTCCAGCCCCACTGCGAGAGGATATGGCTTTGTTCATGCGCGTCGCTACTCGAAGCCGGGACTCGTTGGCAGGCGGGGCCGTCCCGAGCTCCGGCGCTGCTGGAGGATCCGGAGCGGGCAGGAGGTGGCCGTGGGAAAGCGGGTCTCGGTTCTTCAGGGGTGCCGCCGCGACGGGTCTGGGTCCCTGCGCCCCCACGGACTATTTTTTGGAATGCGGTTTGTTCCCCAGAAGCCCGTCGATCTCCATCACCGTCTGCGGGGTCAGCTGGCTCAGCACCTGGGAAGGGGGTGGTGGAGAGCGCAGCACGCGCGGGGCTTGAGGCTCCAGGACAAAGGAGCAGCCCCGCGAGACCAAGTGGCAGAGTCACCGCTGTGGACCTCTCGGGCAGAGTAAGGGCCCTGGAGTGGGTCATCCTATCAGGCCCATTCTGAGTGGGCACTGGGGACTTGTCTCCTGGGGAGTGGCCAAGAGATGTGCTCTCTCTTCCCAGCTCACCTGCAGGGCGCCCAGGTGTTCTATCAGCTGCTCTGCACTGGACACCCCCAGCAAGACTGAGCTGACTCCCTCGCTGCGGAGACACCAGGCTGGGACCAGGATAGGAGAGAAAGCGGACCCATGGGGGCAAGTTAGCAGGCTTTCAGGAGCGTCTCTGAGAAAGAGGGGCCTCCTGGGGACCATCTAGTGTGAGGCTTGGGAGCAGTCTTACCAATAGCAAGTTGGGCCACAGTGCAGCCTAACTGGTGAGCCATGGGGAGAAGGTCCATAACTTTGGCTTGTTGCTTCTTTCCATCCTCACTCTGCACCTTTTCTTTGAGCCACTGGTAACCCTGGAGGCCAGAGAGAATGAGCAAAATCCCCTTACCCCACCCCATACCGCGGTAGCCCAAGCAGCCCAGTCCAGCTCTCTGGGGCTTCCAGATCTCTCACCTTGATGGTGGCCCTGCAGGTATCTGGGACTCGTCCATCATATTTGCTAGTGATCAGGCCACAGGCCACTGGAGACCAGGTGACTGAACCAACACCTAAGAAGAAAAGCATTGTACATGAGGGAAAGGATCTGGGTGATGGAGAGGCTGAAAGGAAGATGGGCAAGTGGAGGCTGCGAACCAATCTTGTGGTAGAGCTCTGGCAGATGCATCTCCACCTTTTCTCTCTGAAACAGATGGTGGTCAGCTTGTTCACACACGGGAGGAATCAGATTGAACTGCCTGGCCATGGAATATGCCTCCTGTGTTGGTGTGGGGAAGAGATGGGGTCAGAACACTCCTTTCAGTTTCTTCCTCACCCCTCCCCCAGTAACGCAGGCCTTGGAATGACCATGTAAAAAATGGGAACCAATGGTAGGACAGGGGAAAGTAGGGTGGCACACTCACCATGATTTCTGCAGCTCCCCATCGGGATGTCCCCCAGTATAGGGCCAGGCCCTGGTTGATGACATAGGTCATGGCTCGCACAATCTCTAGGCACATGGGAGAAGGAGAGCCTCACTGTCAGACCCTTCGAATGCAGTGCTCCAGATCTGCCTGTCCCATCAGAGCCCAGGCATCTTACAGGGCCAGAGGAACTAGTATTTGTGTCCCCCCCCCCCCCCGTCAAAGTCCTAGGGTTTGAATCTCCACTGTGCAGCTTGGGACACCTCTGAGTGAACACTGGCTTCCTCCTTGAAGTGTAAGGAAAGTGCTGAGTTCTGAATGACTGTTGGGGTTGGGGTACTGTGTTTTACCCTCCATGGGACTGTTGGGGTCTAAACGATTGGCGAAGACAATGTCCACATATCCTAGTTGGAGGCGTTCTAGAGATCCTCGCAAGCCTAGGATACGGTTGGGGAGAAGAAAGAAAGCACCTCAGCTTCAGTTTTCTAAAAAATTAAGATCAGCTTCCCACCCCCACTTGCCATGCTCCCCAAATCCCAGATCTCCTATTCAAAGCCTCTAACTCAGAGCTTCAGAGGATGTTCTCAACGCCTCTGGCTTTCACGCCCAGCCACTTCAGCTTCCCAGTCTCAGCTCTCACCCTCAATGATGTGTTTACGGCTCAAGCCTCGTTCAGTTTCTGCCCTATAGAAAAAGGCAAATTAAAAAATGAGAAGTGATAAAGATAGGTGATCAAGGCTGGCCCAGTACCATGAGGACCAAACAAGTCCTCAGAGGTAGGATGCAAAGCTGAAATGACAGATGTGGGGACAGCGGTCCTCATCCCTACCCCATGTACCATAGCATGGAAATTACTTACTGTCCTCCCCAAAAAATCTTGGTGGTGATAACATAGCTTGATCTCCTGGAAAAAAGAGTAATGGCAGAGCCAATATAAAGGATTTTTGGAAGGCTGTCTCCAGCAACCCCCCTAAACAGTCTTACCTCCAACCTTTGCTTTTGAGGATGTTGCCTAGGGTTCTTTCAGCCCTGGAAGAAAGACAACATAGAAGCATTGACACCCCCAAGGTAGTTTAGTTCCTCCTTTTATTCCCCACTTTTAATTTCCTGTTAATTAATTTCCTGTCATGTAGAGTATAAACCATCACCTGCACCCATCCCAGAGCAAAGGGTATAGTTGTGTAATTTTCATGAAAAATTCAACATACCAATTATGCATCAACTATGTACCAAGTTCTTTTCTGGGTGCTGAAGGGATAGAACGAGATGAGGGGAGTGGAAATAGGAACACTTCCTTGTCTGGTTCTGACTATTTGTATTGACTCTGCAACATTGAAGTTTTGGGAAACTTCAAAGTCCTCCTAGCCTCCCAAATTTAGCTTAGATTGTGCCTGATTTTATGGAAAATGTTCTCTGATAACATAGTCTATAGTCAGTCTTAGTCATATTCCTCAGCTCTTGTTTGCTACGCAATTCTTGGTTTAGCCAATAGACTGAGCTTTTCAAGAGCATGTTTATGACACCTCACAAGTAATGCCTAATCTGTATTAGGCTCTGTGTAGTTATAAACACAGGGACGATATGGCATGCGGATAAGCAGGATATGTTCCAAGGAAGGAGGATTTTCCAGCCAAGCAGAAAATATGGCCACAAACCCCATAATTAATGAACCATGTGTCAGAAGGCAGTATAAAGAGCTTTGGGAGCAATGAGAATTTGTGACCTCTGGACAGAAGAGCTGATGTTTGGGTCAAGTGTTAAAGATGAGTGGAAGAGCGAAAGGCAGGGGAAATTCACTTCAGATTTTAACTAATTCCACTGTGAAACCATGGGTGTGGTGTCATGCAGTATATTTGAAAAATCAGCTCCTTCATCCTCACATAGTTGCATATAAATGACATCTAGGATACATCTGTTTGTTTTATTCTAATTTGACTGCACAATGTACCTTTCAGGAGTGAGACGGATATTGAAACTACAAGTCCCATAATGCTTGGAATTTGTGGACTGGCTAATAGGTTAGAAAGTTTTCCCAGAATTTACAGGATTGTTGGACTGGAAAGGTAGTAGAGTGGATAGGGTGCATGCCTTGCCCATGCAGCCAACCGAGGTTCGACCCCCAGCATCCCATAAGGTCCCCTGAGCACTACCAGGGTAATATCTGAGTGCAGGTCAGGAGTTAACCCCTGAGCAATGTCAGGTGTGGTCCCAAAACCAAATATATGTATATATATGATATATATATATCCCCAAACAAAACAGAATTTACAGGATTATCTAGAGGGAAAGAAGAAGCCCTGATATTCTCTCCGCTTTCCAAATATAATAGCTCTTTCACTCCGTGCTTACTGTCCTGCTGCATACACTTCGGCCGTGTCAAACAGGTTTACACCATGCTCGTAAGCTACTGTCAGCACATCCTCTGCTATCTAGGGAAGTGAAAGAAAAAATTGAAAATCAACCACTGGCCCCTCAATTGCCAACCTCACTGCAGGCTAGCCCATTATACCTCAGCCCTGGTTTCCATTTTTCCTCCCCTTTCGACATTCTACTCAGGTTCACCATGGGTTATCTAAAATTTCTATCCATTCCTTCCCTTTTCTAGCTCCCTCAGACCCCTTCATTCTGCCCACGGTTCCCATCACTTATACCTCATCCGAGATCTGAGAACCAAACGTGACCCAGGTACCTGGAAAAGAGAAGCCAGGTGCATGAGAGCTATGGGAGGCAGACCATGAAAGAACACCCAACCTCTTAATTCTTTTTCCTTCTAACTCACCTAGGCCAAGACAGGATACCCGAAGACCAGACTTTCCTAGGTTCCTGCAGAACACAGAAGTAGAAGAAAGGGAGGGACATAGATTATCAACCCCCAATTCGTCTCCTTCAAGCTGAGATGCCTCGGAGTGTTTTCATCCAAAGAAATGATCTAGTTGGGTCTACAGAATTGGGTAGCACCATGCTCTTAGAATAAAGTGTACAAACAAAAGATTTTTTCTGGAGCCACTGTTCAATGCCTCTCTTCCTTCCTATCACACTGAAATGTGCTGCCTGATTTATGTTACGCCTGGCTGGGATCTTGTTTGTATTTCAGTCATTTCTGTAGTGTGCGAAGCCAAGGGCTTGAAGGATTATGACTGTCTGTGTGATTATAACAAAATTTGAAAATCAAGACTCTCAGAGTGCTATGCTAGAGGGCAGACACCAGAGCAGGAAGATAAACTAAGTCAAATTCATGCACTCAGACAGGCAAAATTCCTTGGGTAGGCTCAGCAGATGGGTCTCCAATAAAGACAGGCAGAAAACCTGGGAAGGTTCATGACAGAAAAGGCCAGTCCTTCCTCTACCCACTCTACTCCCTCAGCTCTTCTTGGGTTATAAAATCTGAACCAGATAGTTCCCTTCTTCCAAGGCACCTGTCGAGGCAGTCAGTTGGCCAAGCTTCGCAAGAGGGGATTGGATTCTTCAGGGGACAACGTCAGGTTAGATGAGTGATCTCTGCTCAATTCCAGGTAGAATTCCCCCCCACACACACACACACACTCCCTCATCCCCCACCCCACTCCCACACTGTGAGTTATGAAAACCCAGATGTTCTCTGCAATTTGGTCCATTTTCTCCATCTAGCCCGGTTCTTCAGCACTGAGCTAAGAAATGTGGTCCAACTTCCCACCCCACTAAGAAATACGGCAGGAGACCTGGCCAGTGGGGCAGGTGGTGACACTATCTGGGTCAGGCACTCTGAGCAGGACCTAAGAGATTTCCTTCGCAGGACACTGACCCAAGGGCACTCCACCTGAAGGGGTGGGGAAGGGTAGGGGCAGGGGTGGAGCCGAGCCAAACATCCCAGGCCTTCCAGGGTATTAAGGAGGGGAGAGAGCTCAGGAATATCCCGGGGGGGGGGGGGGTCTGGCTGAATATATTAAGCCCCCATAACCTGGTTCTATCCCGGCTGCAGCGACCACAGAGAGGGACCAGCTCCGGGGGAATCGTGAAGGGAAGAGGTGAAATGAACCCAAACCTTTTTTTCTTAGCGAAGTTTAAGGGGGTTCTAGCGTCATCCCAGGAAGCCTCGGGTCAGGAAAGCGGAGTAGACGGGGCAGGCTGTCCGGCCACCCCCATACCTGTATTTCATGCCAGTGCCTCGGCCGGTGCTCTCTCGGAGGGCCCCAGCAGGCGCCGGGGGCCGGGGGACCTGAGCGGTCCGGACCTTGGGGCCGGACCCTCCTCCTCCTGGAGGATTTCCGTGCCCCCCGCCGGCCGGCCCCCCATTGCCGCCCCCAGGGCCCGGCCGGGCTCCACACAGTCGGTCCTCACTGCTCCGGCTGCGAAGGTTCTGCTCGGTGCACGCGATGGACACCTGCATGCCGGTGGGCCAGGGTGGGGAAGGGGCGCTGAGGGTGCGGGTGCGTGCGGGAGAAGGAGGGAATGGGGGAGTCCGAGGACAGACTCCGGGGCCGCGGGGGCGCGGGCCCAGCGCGCGGTAAGACTGGGGAGGCTGCGGCGGGAGCCGACTGGCAGGATGGGCCGCGGGGGCGGACTGCGGGAGGTCGCGGGGTTGGAGGCGGGAGGGAGACGCGGGCGGGGGTGCGCGGCGAGTGAAGACAGTCGGATAGCCAGACACAGGTGCTGGGAGGCGGGAGAAATGGGGCAAAGGGAAGGTCGAGGGCGATCCTCGGAGGGTCGGGACTCCGGACCGAGGGGGCGGAGGAGAGATGCCACTAGAGCCGAACCGCAGCGAGACCGCTAGGCAGCCAGCCAGTCGCCCCGGCGGCGGCGGCCCGGCTCATCTACATACAGGCGCCGCCCCCTCATCTGCATAAAACCCGCCTCCCCGCCAACCTGCCACTCAAGTGCAGAAGCCCTGCAGCAGAAAACTCCCCAGTCTTCCTTCGGGTGGGTCCGCCGGGTGAGTGACCCCGGAGGGTGCTTCTCCTGTTTTCTGGGGCCCACTGTAGCTAGGTCTTCATCTAGCCTTCTGGGTCCCGATCGGGGCGATTTTATCCTGCAGGGGGCGTTGGTAAAATCTGAAAACGTGTTTTACTATCATGACCTGGAAGAAAGGATGGGGTGATGCGTTGTGCTACAGCGTCCAGAAAGGGCTGGATGGAGAGGTCCCACATCCCGAGCAAGGAATTATGCACCCCTTAATGTCGCTCTGAGAAATCCATGTATCTTTGTAATTCAAGGAATGTGGCTACCCTGGTTCCCACTTAGGGTGGGGCTGGACCCTACCCACCAGAGTGAAAAGCTGCTCAGGATACAGAGGGTGAAAAAAAAGTTTATTATTTTGTACATCTTGCACTCAGGGAGGAGATAAAACTGGAGAAAGGGCTTGGTCCTCCTGTCATCAGGAAGGTTACAGGCTGCTTTCTGTTGAAGGCCGACGGCTTCCAGGGGCTTTGGGATACAAGGGCTGGCAGTGGAGTCCCTTGGGTGGCATATGTTAGGAAAAGCCTCTTGAGGGATGAGGGAGGCTGCTTCCCTCAGCCAGGCCGGGCAGAGAAGAAGGGTAGCGAGCGGATGTAGGAATCCAGCCGGGAGCGGAAGAGCTCACTTTGCACAGTTTGGCCCAGTGGGCAGAGAGGATTCTTCACCACCAGCTCCACATACAGCTGTGGAGAAGGAAGGTGTTAGAGCCTAGCTTTGAACACATTTTGGGGGGAGGGGGGCTGCACCTGGGTCTGCTTAGTGATCATTCCCGGCAGGGCTTGGGATATGAGATATATGGGGTATATGGGACGCCAGGGATCAAACCCAGGGTGGAAGCATAAAAGGCAAGTACCCTAACCTCTGTTCTATCTCTCTTGGGTCTGCACTGGTCACTTTTTGTATTCACTTTCAAACCTAGTATAAATTCACAAAGGGTGAATGCACAAAGCCCAAAGGCTGAATGAATGGCAAACTCTTCCTGAGAAGCTGATGTTTAGGGACCAAAAGCGTGCCTGGGCAAATGCTAGCTTCAATGTTGTAGGATTAGGGAAGAGAGGTGAAGAAGCTGGGGCTCTAAGGAGCCATGCAGTTAAAGATATTTGGGGGAGGGGCCCTGGAGGCTGGTACTGACCGCACTGTAGATATGGTGCAGTACATCTCGGATAGGTCCCACGCCCAAGTCAGTATTCATGACAACCTTGATCCCAGTAGGTGTTTCGTAGTAATGGAGTTTGTAACGGCTAGTTTGGAAAGCCAGGAAGCCATCCTTCCTGTAGAGATGAGGAGGATGTTAATGTAATGGGAGCAGAATCTCTCCCAAAGAGATACTTCTAATCCTTTCTCTAAATATATTTGTACCTGCTGGTTGAGAATGATACCAACTTCTCAATTTGGTCCCCACCCCCAACCTCTTTAGCTTTAGAACTCCCATCACCAACCAGTTCTTGCTAGCTCAGCATGTTGCTCGGGGTCAGTCTCTGGAGACCAACGACCCTTCCACTCAAGAAAGCTTCCCCCACCCCAGGTCCCCAAGGTTTTAGCCCTCTTTCCCTCACGCCACACCCCAAAATCCGCGTACATGTCTAGCGGGGACATCTTGCTGACAAAGGAGCGTATAGAGAAGAGCATTCCGTACATCAGCTTGTACTCCTGGGGGGGAGAGGGCCATTGTTAGCGCTCAGATGTTTAAGAAGGGCAAAATGGGAAGGAATCGGGGTTTGGGGAGAAGGGGCAAGACGGCACTATAAGCGTTTGGAGACGAAGGTCGCCCGGGTTGCGCGGGGCCCTCTTGTCACCTCCTCTTTGGGGATCCCCGCTTGCTTCTTGCGATGCCACTCGCTGTAATGCAGGCACACTCCATTCCGATCAAACAGGTACAGGTTGTGGACAGTCATCTGCAGGGCACTATGTGTGAGCCTCGCTCCGGGACGGCTCACACTTGGGCTCCAGTTGTCTACGCCAGGTCCCTCCAAACAGGCGGGACCCCTTCCTCCACGGGACTCACCGGAACTGCTCCTTGCACCCTTCACTAGATAACTTCCGCTTTCCGCGAAGCGCAGACCCGCGGGTCCTCCCACTGCAGCAGCAAGGCAATAATCCCGCCCCAATACCCATTTTAGCCAATCCGTGGCTGCAGGAGCCGCGCATGCGCGTCCGGGCTTTCAGGGCCTAAAAGTGGATCACTTTCATGGCTGTCTCCAGGCTGTGACGTCATTAAAACGAGCGAGGCGGGGCTGCGGCTGTGGGCGGGAGGCGGCCAACGGTTTTGAGTGTCTGCGAGATCCCGGGACCCTGGTGGTCTTTGGTCTTTCCGGACCCGCGGTACCGGAGCTGCAGCAGAGTAGTCGAAAGTGGGTGGTCGGGGAGAGGATGTCAGGCAGGGCTTGAAAGCGGCGTCTTTTAGGGACGCCTGTGGGCGTCGACTCATTTTTTGCTCGGTTTCTCTGGGGGTCTTGAGGGAAGGATTCTGCGAACCCTTGCTATGGTTTTCTTGACAGAAGGGATGGGAGGGAGTATTCTGGAGAGTTGACCCTGGATAGGACGGGGGTGGGCAGAGAGGGTGTGAGGAGGTTGGGAGTGTGAGATTCCTGCTTCTGAAGGATGATCGCGGGGCAAATAAGACAGCTAGACGGAAATTGGGTCCCCGCCGGACTTGGTTCCGTTTCACAGTGCGTGTTCTGGGTGTGAGAAACTCAGAGCTTAGTGCACCCGAGGACGCCGCACCAAAGTTGATCTGATCCTGCAGCTTTCGTGGGAAATGCCGTAGGTCACTGAACCCTACTCTTTGGTCTCCCTCTTTTCTATACCCTCCTTTTCCGCCGTTCCAGACCTCTGGAAAGAGATGCTTTTGCCCTCTCCCATGGCCTTTGGAACGGGTGGACACTTTCCTCTCAACCAGAAATCCTTCCAACCTGTGTTTATCAAGGATCTCTGGCTTGGCATCTTGCTCCTTTCTCCCAGATTTCCCCTCTCTCTCTATTTGCGCCCCTGAGTGCTCCTAAAGCAGAACCAGTTCCCAGCTCTGCGATCTCCAGTTGTCACTTCCCTGTGTTCATGGCGACATCAGCTACCAGTCCCAGTTCACCTTTGCGGGCAGAGGATCTTCTGAGCAACTCATCAGACATCCGTGGGCTGAACCAAGTGTCTTCTGAGGTGACCTCCCAGCTCTATACTTCCTTGCATCTAAATCGCCAGGCAGAAGCCACAGCCCGAGCCCAGCTGTACTTACCTTCCACCTCTCCACCTCTTAATGAGGTATTAGATGGCTTGGCCCAAGAGCTCAGTCAGAGCTTGTCAGTTGGATTGGAAAACAACTTGAAGAAAAAGGTGAGGGAGGTGTGTTTTGGGTACCTAAAAGGTCCTGGGTGGAGTGGTTAAAAAACACTTTCTATGAACCACAGAGATGTCAAGATGTTGGCCTTGCAATGAAGCTGACCCAGATTTGATATCTGGTACCACATATGGTTCCCCAGATCCTGAGCAAAGAACCATGCATAAGCCATGAGATCTGCCAGGTATGGCCCCCAAATAAAAAGCCAAAGTTTTATGAAACGTGACCTCCTATTGTTAGATTTCAGATTTCTTTTGACTAGAGTCGGTCATGCTTATTTCTGGGAACAAATGTTTCTAAGGGAGAGAGTGGCCTGGATACCATAATTTGGAAAATTGTGTAGCTTGCTACTTTTTTGTTTTGTTTTCTGGTCAGAAACACCTGCACTATGAGCTGCTGTGCTTTGAGATTTGGAAGTGAAGATACGGTTTCTTTTTCCCAAGGGGAAAGTAGAATAGCTCACGACTTGCAGCAAAATATCTAAAATCATTCTAGCTCAAGTTCTGTTCGTATGGTTTGAGGTTTTAATGATTATTATGAAACAGTGGAATAAATTATACATTTTACAGAGAAAATAGTTATTAATACGGGATAGAAAAGATGCAAACTGGTTAGGTTTTCTGGAGTTTGAAAAATTGATAGCTATGGGCTTCATTTCTTTAGATAGTGTACGTGCTTTCTGGTTGTCAAGAATTCCTCCACTCTTTGTCTTATCCCACCCACTTTATGCAATTGTACTACCCATTTGGCCTCTGTACACATTTGTTTCTAAATTTTACTGCATCAGTTCTATTTTTCTTGCCTTCTTAGGTACTAGCAAGGAAAAATTCTTTAATTTTTTTTGGTTTTGGGCTACTGTTTTTGTAGTTTAGTGATTGATTATACGTCTTGTACCAACGCAGCAATGCTAAGGGGTTACTCCTAGCTCTGTGCTCAGGAATTACTCTGGCAGTGCTTGAGGGAACCATATGGGATGCCGGGGATTGAACTTGGGTTGTCCATGTGTAAGGCAAATGCCCTACCCACTATACTGTTGCTCCTCCATTCCCGCAATAAAAATTCCTGGGTTTTAAGAATACTCCAAGGTGGGATGGAGGTGGGTTTAAAAAGAAATATTACTCTGGATATGATGTGCTCTGGAAATAGGTGAATATAAAATATATATATATGTATATATATACACACACATATCTATATATATATAGAACAGGTTGCATCATATTTGTGAGTTTTTTTTAAGGGGTTGGGGTGGGGTGTTGAGGTCACACCTAGAAGTGCTCAGGGCTTACTCCTGGCTCTGGGCTCAGGGATCACTTTTGGCTGTGCTCAGGATGTGGTGCTTGAGATCAAACACGAGTCAGCCTCGTGCAAGGCAAGTGCTTTACCCACTGTACTCTCTCTGACCCTCGGTGTTACTTTTTTCCAGGATGGTTCCAAGCATATCTTTGAGATGGAAAGTGTTCGGGGTCAACTCCAGAGCATTCTCCAAACCTCACGTGATACAGCCTATCGTGAGTAAATCCCTTTCCTGTAAGGGAGAACCTAGATTTCAGTCCTAGGAGTAAGTGGAGAGAGGAAGTGTCTGCTTGTTGAGAGGCAATGTTACTCCTCTGAGATGACATTTCAGGAGGAAAGGTCTTTGGGAGAGGGGCCTCAGGCACGGGTAATGTGGAATGGAAAGCCCCTGGGGCGGGGATGTAGTTTAGTGATTGATTATATGCCTTGTGTCAATGTGTGAGGTCCTGGATTCAATTCCTGGCACCAAAAACAAAACAAAGAAGCAAAGTCTCTTTTCTCTCTTTTTCACATGGTTCCTGTTCCTGTCTTTATCTAACCCTGCCTTTGGGATTCCTCTGGCTGCCTACAGGAGTTCCCCTTACCACAGAGGCAGGCTCGGAACGACGGGAAGAGGACTCCTTTGAGAGTGACAGCACAGCCACCTTACTTAAGTGAGTTCTCATTGGGGGTCTCCTAGTTGCTTGCTTAATAGAAAGGAAAGTGGTCTGTTGTGAGTTTTCCTTTTATTGCTTTTGTACCTCTTAAGAGCCTAAGACACGTGTCACTTAGCTTTCAGGGTTTCTTTATAGGGACGGGAGCCTCCTAAGCAGTGTTTGGGAGACTGGCTGGTATCTGACTAACCAGGCTGGACACTTCATATTTGGACTGGGTGATGAGGTCAGGCTCAGCAATGTTGGGATTCACCAGAGCCTCAGCCAGTAATGCTGGGTAGGGTTAAGGGGTGGGGTAACCAATGCCAGGCATCAAACTAGGCCTTGAACACACTAGGCATGCGCCCCAGCCCTTAAGCCTTCGCCTCTTCGCCTTTTCCTGGTGCCTTTTAAAGTGTGTGTGTGTGTGTGTGTGTGTGTGTGTGTGTGTGTGTGTGTATTCTCTCTCTCCTGTCTTCTACCTTTTAGTCCTTTGGGAACACGAACATCTGCTGCCTAGCTCCTGACTTTCTCCTGACCTCTAGTTAGCTTGTTTTGCTGAGACTTTCTGCTGGGAGAAGCGCAATGGGGTGAATCATCGGCTGTGTGCTATTTGTGTCTCTGTCACTACCTAGCTTTATGGCATAGATAGGACATATATTTTGCCCTTTTGGAGTTTTAGTTTCCTTGGCTGTAAAATAACACAGTTGGACTACTGGATCGCAAAGGTCCTCATAACCCTAATGTTTTCTACCCGATTTGCTCAGCACCCGGCCTCTGCAAGACTTATCTCCATCCAGTTCAGCTCAAGCCTTGGAGGAGTTGTTTCCTCGATACACCAGCCTTCGGCCAGGGCCCCCACTCAATCCTCCAGATTTTCAGGGCCTGAGAGATGCACTGGATTCAGAGCATACTCGTCGTAAGGTAAGCCACAAAGGCTTCCTTTGGAAATAGACAAAATTAGAAATAAGGCAGGCACTAGAGGCAGAGTGGGTAGGGGACAGTGCAGTTAATACAGAGAAGGGACCACAGTGACAGTGATAGTTGGAAATGATCATTCTGGACAAGAATTGGGTACTGAAAGGTAAAGTGATATGCATGATAACCTTTCAGTAACAGTATTGCAATCCACAGTGCCTAAAAGGAAAAAAGTGTTGGGTGAGAAAAAGTATCTGCATAGAAGCAGGTTGAAGGGGTTGTTGGGAAGGAAACTGAGGACACTGGTGGTGGGAAATGTACACTGGTCGTGAAGGGACAGGTGTTGGAACTTTTTTTTTTTTGCTTTTTGGGTCACACCCGGCGATGCTCAGGGGTTACTCTTGGCTTTGCATTCAGGAATCACGCCTGGCTGTGCTCAGGGGACCATATGGGATGCTGGGAATCGAACCTGGGTTGGCCTCGTGCAGGGCAAACTCCCTACCCACTGTGCTATAGCTTCAGCCCCAGGTGTTGGAACATTGTATAACTGAATCATGAACAAGTTTCTGTGTGTTTCACAGTGATTCAATTAAAAAAAAACTTTAGGGACCAAAAAAAAAGAAAATAGGAGAAAAAGAAGGCTGAGGGTGCGAGATTGGGTAGTACAGCAAATAAGGAGTTTGCACAGCCAACTTAGGTTTGGTTTCCAGTGCTGGAGATGATCTCCCATGCAGTGCCAGGATCCATGAGTGCAGAGCCAGGAGTAAGCTGGAAGGAAAGAAGGATGAAGAAAGGAGGGAGGGAAGAAGAGAGGGAGGGAAAGAGGGAGGCTTGGTGGGACAAAAGGATGGAGGGATGAAGGGGAAAGAACGATGGGAGAGAGGGAGGGAGGCGAGGAGGGAGGGGAGAAGGGAGGGAGGGAGGGAGAGGAGGAAGGAAGGAGGGAAAGAAGGGAAGGAGGAGAGAAAGAAAGGAAGGGAGGAGGGAAGGAAAAGAGGGAGGAAGAATGGGAGTATGGAGGGAGGGAAGAAAGAGGGAGGAAGGAAAGAGGGAAGGGAGGAAGGGGAGGAAACCCTGAGACAACCTGGCCAAGGAAGATGGTTCAAAGACTTGTATGTGGGAGCCCTAAGCATCTCTTAGGGTGAGTGCTGCCAGGGATGACCTTCCCTCTTCAAAAGAGGACTTGAGGGTTAAGTACTGCATAGAAGGTTGAACTGAGACGTAGCTAAAATGAGTGTTTAGGGAGGCCATCCTTAACCATCCTTTCTGAAATAACATACCTCCCCTCCAGGTGTTCTTCTCTTTTGCTTATTTCATTCACATAATTTATCACTGCATATCTTGTTTGTTTCTCCCGTCAAAAATCTAACTTCAATGAAGGTCATACCTTATCTTATCCAACACTTTCTCCCTAAGGTTTAGAATACACCTGACAATAAATCGCTAGTGTTTGATCAATAAACAATGACATTTCCTGACTTGTTAAAAGGCTTTATAGCTACTAATGATATAGCCTCAGCCTTAATGTTTGACAGGGCAGAAAGGTACAAGTTAGAAGAAAAGTCAAAATTATTGGTTCTTTTCTCTGTTTTTCTCTCTTGATAATTTTTGACCTTGCTGTATTTAATTATTGTACCCCCAAAATTTATCAAGAGTGAAGTAACGTTTTACTCTTTTCAGTGTGGGCTGATGCATCTCTGCCAATAAACTTCTGGCAGTTTTTCTCTGGAGAGCTGGGAAAGGGAAGAAGCTGGAAGCTGAGCCCTTATTTCTCGAGGAGGTGGAGGTCTTGGGTCTCAGAGTTCTTACTCCAGAATTCCTGATTCTCCCTCTCTGAACCTGTTCTTTTTTTTATTCCTTTTTTATTTTATAAAGTAGTTCACAATATTTGATTATATTTAATATTCGAACATCAGTCCCACCACCATCACACCTACCCACCACCATATTTCGGATGTTTCCATCCTGAACTCTGCACCAAAGCAGAACCAAAATAATTTATTTTGTATTGTTTGTTAGGAAAAATGGCTGAAAATGCTCCAAAATTTTTTCTTAGAGGAAAGAGTATAAAGATTGTTGTATTTCACCCAGGGGCCATTAAGCCCTTCTATAAGAGATGACTAACATGTTGTTAAAGGTTGAGCCTTGTGTGCTAATATTTTCCTCTAAGATTGGTTGCCTCCTGCTTTAAACCCCATCAAATGTGGTGCAATACTCTTGGAGTATGGGTGGTGTGAGATATGCGTTTTCCAGGAATAGATTCACTCCTTGGTGAGGCTCATCTGAACGTGTGGAGAGTGGCCGTGTGCATGGCGGCAGTTGAGTTCTGGAGGTTTTTAGCTGCTGGGGCTGGTTCTCTTGAGACGGACAGGGAAAGGTCTCACCCGTCCCCTTCCCGGGCACCCTGAATGAAACAGCCTGGTGTGGGGTTCAGCAGCATAAACCTGTTCTCTCTTTCTCTCTCCCTCTCTCACGCCTTCACTCTCTCCCTCTCCCTCACCTTCTCCCTCTTCCTGCCCCTCGCCACCCCCCCTCTGTTATTGGTCCTCACCCAGTGTTTCTCAGGGCTTACTTCTGACTCTGTGTTTAGTGATCACTCCTGGCAGGGCTCGGGAAACCATATGTGGTGCCAGGGATCGAACCTGGGTTGGCTGCATGCAAGGCAAATATCCTGCCAACTGTACTATTGCTCCAGCCCTAAACCCGTTCTTTCCTTGGGAACCTATTTCCCAATCTCTAGCCCATTTCTCCTAGAGGAGATGAAAAAGTTGGTTATTTGGGCATACTAATGGTTTCAGCACCCATCCTCTTATATCTTCTTTTCAGCATTGCGAACGCCATATCCAGAGCCTGCAGGCCCGAGTACTAGAGCTCCAGCAACAGTTAGCTGTGGCTGTGACTGCTGACCACAAGAAAGATATTATGATTGAACAACTGGACAAGGTGTCAGGGTAGAAGAATGGAATGTGGGTTGGTGTTTCTATGGTGGCAGGCACTAAGGATTAAAAAATAAGAGCTGGCCAACCATTGTTTCTTTGCTTTGTTTATACTAGGAGCAAGGGGTGGGTTTACTGACTAACTGGAAAAGATAATTGTTGACCCAGCCCCTGCTAGCAGAGGGAAGGAGGACAGAAAATTATTTCTAAACTATCTGCCATTTCTATCCTGAGACCCTAGCCCGAGTCGTGGAAGGCTGGAACAGACATGAAGCTGAGCGGACTGAGGTGCTTCGGGGACTCCAGGAAGAACGCCAGTCAGCTGAACTTGCCAGAAGCAAGCAGCAGGAGGTGGGCACCCTGGATTGTGTGGCTATAGAACTTAGGTCATAGATTCCCTCATGGAAAGAAGACGGGAGTTTCCTATAGATTGACCTCAGTCTTGCAATAGCTGTCCTGACAAGTCTGATCTTCTATTTCTTCTTTCACTGGTTTATGTCTACTGTCCAATTTGTCTTTCCAGCCATCCTTACATCATATAGTCTTCTCTTGGACCTCCTAGTCATTTAGTTAACTATTACTTTTAAAGATGACATTACTGATGCTTTTGAAATGTAGTATAGAGAAACTTCCTTCATGCCCTGTGTCCTGTGTTTTCCTCTCTTTCAAAGACAATAACCCGCCTAGAACAAAGTCTTTCTGAGGCCATGGAGGCCCTGAATCGGGAGCAGGAAGGTGCAAGACTGCAGCGACGGGAGAAAGAGACACTGGTGAGAATGTTGGGCTGAGCTAATTTCACTGGAGTCTGTTGATTCCTGCTAGAGGGCCATGGGCTCTTGTGAATTGTGAGCACTTATACATAACTTGTACCAGGGCCATATTTTCCTGTGTGTTGCTTACTAGATACTTTAAAAAGGGGGAGGGGGCCATGTGGGGTTCCATTGCCAAGTACATTCAAAAGACTTGTCAGTTATATCCCTCATTAGAATCACCTGGAAAATTATTTTAAAATGTAGATTACTGGGAACCGTGCCTAGAGGATTGGGTTGAGTAAAGATATGGTGGGATTGTGAAACGTAAGTAAAGGTAAAGGTAAAGGCCCTCCCGTTGATCGTCGATTTGCTCGAGCGGGCCCAGTGACGTCTCCATTGGAGACTTTGTTGTTACTGTGTCTGGCATATGGAATACTCTCGGTAGCTTGCCGGGCTCTCCGAGAGGGGCGGAGGAATCGAACTCGGGTCGGCCATGTTGGCCGCGTGTAAGGCGAACGCCCTACCCGCTGTGCTATCGCTCCAGCCCGAAACCTAAATATTTTGAGAATTTTCCTGGATAACTTTGGAAGTTAAGTTTGGAAGTCTGCTCTAGAGCAGAGCTTAAAAAAACCCCAAAGAACATAAAGTAACAAAATAGGAGACTAACACCCAGGAATAACCAAGATAAATACCAGGAGGTTTACTCCATGGCTTGGAGGCCAGCCGCACACTCTAGGAGTAAAGGCAACTCAGATAGAGAAGGGAGCACCAAATAAAGGGTGTTGGGAAGATCCGCCCAGGATGGGAGATGCATGCTGAAAGTAGACTATAGACCGAACACGATTGCCACTCAATTCCTCTTTTGCAAACCACAGCACCCAAAAGGAGAGAGAGAACAAAAGGGAGGGGTGGGGTGGGGGGGGGAGGGATACTGGGATTAGTGGTGGTGGAGAGTGGGCACTGGTAGAGGAATGGGTACTCGATCATTGTATAACTGAAACCCAAGCACAAAAATTTGTAAGTCTACAACTGTATCTCATGGTGTTTCACTAATAAAAATTTTAAAAAAATAATAAAAGAATGGGAACTGGAAAGATAGCAACAAGAAGGTATTTTCCTTGCAAGTGGCCAACTAGAGTTTGATCCCTGGCACCCCATATGGTCCCCCAAGTCCCATCATGGCTGAGTCCTGAGTGTAGAACCAGGAGTTAGCCATAAGCACAACCAGGTGTGACCCTAAACCCAAAAATAAATAAATAAATGGTTTGGGATGAGACTCACTCAGGCTTCTTATAGCAGAAATGACAAGATGATGACAAGTAGCCAGGTTTGGAACTTGTTGTATGCATGAGACATGCTTTCTACATTTGCATAGGCAGGTATTCTCTTAGTCGTCTGCTTCTAATAGTGAACGTGGTTGCTCACTGGCTAGTACATTATTATAGGCTGAATTTTCTATTCTCTCAAATTTCTTTTGATGATGGTGATAGTTATAGTGTGTTGAAATTACTAAGGGCCAGACATTGCCAGAATCTTTATATATACACCTTTGAGGTATTTTTTTGTATGTGTGTTCTCTTTGAGAGGACATGTAAAACATGTTTAAAGGAATGTGCCGTGCCTTTTCTCTTCTCTTTTTTTTTCTGCTTTTTGGGTCACACCCAGCAATGCTCAGGGGTTATTCCTGGCTCTACACTCAGGAATTACTCCTGGCGGTGCTTGGGGGACCATATGGGATGCCGGGGATCGAATCCAGGTCAGCCGCATGCAAGGCAAACATTCTCTCTGCTGTGCTATCGCTCCAGCCCTCTCTTCTCTTTATATTCAGAGAAAAGAGAGTTTTTACTGATTACTGTTGACTGGAGCAAGCACTGCCTCCTTATTTACTTATTTATTTATTTATTATTGAACTACCGTGGAACACACAGCTACAAAGTTGGTCATGATTGGGTTTCAATCATACAATGTTCTGTTACCCATCCTTTCACAGTGTACATTTCCCACCACCAATGTCTCCAGTTTTCCTCCTGCCTCCCTCTCTCCATCCTACTTCTATGGGAGGCACTTCTCTTCTTTCCCTTGGAGATTTTTTCTTCTTTTTGGGTCACACCCAGCGATGCTTAGGGGTTGCTCCTGGTTCCGCACTCAGGAATCACCCCTGGTGGTGCTCGGGGGACCATATGGGATGCCGGGGATCGAACCTAGGTCAGCTGTGTGCAAGGCAAATGCCCTCTCTGTTGTGCTATCACTCCGGCCCCCCTTGGGGATATTTTTAACTGTTATGGAGTCTGTGGTGCTCCAGTCATGGTACTGTAGTGCTAGGAGGACTACCAGAACTGTATCTGGTAGGGATCACCAGGGCTGAACTTATCTGTACTAGGGTCAGTGTGGTGTCAGAGATCAAACCCAGGGCCTCACACAGTTAGGCATATGTTCTATCACTTGCCTGCATCCCTGACCCCCGATTTTTACTTATTTTTCATAAGACCCTGTTGTCTCTAGTATTTTGCAGATAAGGATGATTTCTCAAGAACACATAATAGTTAACAGCTGGATTAAAACTGATATTTGAACCTAAATCTATCTTATCTACTATTTATAATCCCATCAATTTGTTTTTGGTTCCACACCTAGTGGTACTCTGGGGACACTCCTCACTCTGTGCTCAGGGGCTGCACACATAATTCTGTGTTCAGGGGACCGTATGTGGTGCTGAGATTTTCAACCAGGGTGGTATCCACAGTTTCGTGCTAAACAAGCACCTTCACCTTTGTACTATCTCTCTGGACTTGAACTATTATATTTTTTGTTTGTTTGTATTTGGGTCACACCCAGTGGCTTTCAGGACTTACTCCTGACTCTGTGATCAAGGGGTCACTCCTGGCGGGCTGACGGAACGACACGTGATGCCAGGGATTGTACCTGGGTTAGCCACATGCAAGGCAAACACCTTACCTGCTGTACTATCACTCTGGCTCCAACCATTGTATTTTTTAACAAACATAATTTTTAGTTGACATAGGGATTAGAGAAAAATTCTCATTCTCTTCACGGATACTAAGGACCTTAATTTTCTCTTGGAACTGTAGGAAGAAGAAAGGCAAGCTCTGACTCTCAGCTTGGAGCTAGAGCAACAGCGCTGCCGGACCTTGCAAGAAGAACTCGATGAGGCCCGGGCAGGGCAGCTCAGTGAAAAGCGACAATTGGAGACACTTCAGGTTGCCCTAGAGCAAGAACGGCAGGCCTGGGCCCAGCAAGAACAACAGCTGAAGGAGCGTTACCAGGCACTGCAGGAAGAATATAAGAATCAGTTGGAAAGGGAGAAGGTAAAAGTGACAGGGAATAGGGAACAAAAGGACAGAATAAGTCAAGGCTGGGATAGATGGGATGTCAGGATCTGGGGTAGAGAGTGAAGAACCATGTGCGAGAGAAAAGACTAGAGGCAACAGGAAGGGCTGGCGGCACCAGATACATGCTAGAGTGAGATGAAAAAGATGAGGAAATAGGACAAATGTGAAGAAGAGGAAACTTGGGTTTTAAGGCTTGGAAGGATGAATTGGGAAATAAAGACAGAGGCAGGAAATAATGTTCGTGATTATTTGATTTTCCTGTCTTAGGGAACCATCCAAAGGGAGGCCCAGACGACCCGAGAGGCGCAGCAGCAGCTGGTATTGGTTCAGTCTGAGGTGCGGCAGTTGGAGGGGGAGTTGGATGCAGCCCGGAGTGAGAGAGATTCCCTGCAGCTGGAAATGAGCTTGTTACAGGTTGGGAAATGGTTCTTCAGGTTTCTTTTCTGAGAAGTCAGTTTGGAGTAACATTTCTACGTAAAATAATTGCCAGTGGAACCAGAGAGCTTAGCTGAGCAGGCTGAATGCACTCTGCTTGCAGGAGGCCTGACTTTGATCCCTGGCGCTTCATGGTTCCCAGGCACAGGGTCGGGAATAGCCCTTGGGCACTTCTGGGTGTGACCCCCCCAAAAAAATTGCCAATGAAAGCTAAAATAACATGGATGTTTTTCTGTATGTTTTAATATGTTTTTGTTCCTGAATTTCTCATGGAATATTTTGAAAATATTTTTGTTTCATTGATATTTTCATGGTACAATTTTGGTTCATCTCTCCTCTTGTTTTGGAGGCAGATGGGGCCACATTCAAGTGGTGCTTAGGGGTTACTCCTGGCTCTGCATTCAGAAATTAGTACTTGCCGACTTGGGGGACCATATGCGATGCCAGGGGTCAAACTTGGGCTGGCCGCATACAAGGCAGATACCCTACCCACTGTACTATGCCACCAGCCCCACTTTTCTATTCCTTTTACTTTATTAAAATTTACATTTTCGGTTTTTGGGGTTTTTTTTTTTTTTGTGCCATGCCTAGCAGTGCTCAGGGCTACTTACAGCTTTGTGCGTAGGGAGTCACACTTGGTTATGGTTGGTACCATGGATTGAACCAAGGTTGGCCACATGCAAAGCAAGAATTTTATCCCTGTTACTGTCTTCCTAGCCCCCAGTTTGGGGGGGTGTGAGGTGGGGTGGGGTTAAGCCATATCTGGTGGTGCTCAGGGCTACTCCTGGCTTGAGGGTTGTTCCTAGCAGTATTTGAGGGACCATGCAGTGCCAGGGATTGAACCAGCATACAAGGCAAGTGCCCTAACCTCTTTACTATTTCTCCAGCCCCTTTCTGTGTAGTTTGTTGTTGTTTGGTGTTTAGTTTTGGGGCCGTACCTAGCAGTCCTGAGGGGTTACTCCTGGCACTATACTCAGGAGTTCCTCCTGGGGTTTGGTGACAATATGGGATGCCAGGGATTAAGCCATAGGCAAGACAAATGTGCTATACACTGTACTGTCGCTCTGGCCGCTTCTGTGTAGTTTTATTATTATTTGGGGAGCCTTATGGCCTACTCTTTGTGGTGCTCAAGCACTATTCCTGACTGTGCTCAATCATCATTCCAGGCAGTGGCCAGGGGAACTGTACATCGAGCAAGGTAGCAAACCAGTGTTGGCTGAAGCAGCCACATGCAAAGCAAGTTCCTTACTGCCTGTTCTATATCCCACGCCACAGTATTTTCTTAAATTTATTTATTTATTTGCCACACCCAACCATGCTCAGGGATCACTCCTGGCCCTGGCAGTGCTCAGGGGACCATATGGGGTCCCAGGGATTGAATCTGAGTCAGCTATGTGCAAGGCAAATGGCCCACAGGTTGTATTATCATTCTGGTCCATCCCATGTGTATTTTTTTCAATTTTTTTTCCAACTTACAAACTTGTGATTACATTTTAGTCATACAGTGATCAAGTACCCATCCCTCCACCAGTGCCCATTCACCACCAATGTTACCAGTATTCCTCCTGCCACCCGCACCCCATCCCTCCTTCTGCCTCACTGGCAGGCACATTCCCTCTTACTCTCTCTCTCTCTCCTTAGGGTGTTGTGGTTTGCAATACAGTAACTAAGTGGCCATTATGTTTGGTCCACAGTCTACTTCCAGCACACATCCCCCATCCCAAACAAGCCTTCCAGGCATCATTTACTTGTTGGTCCCTTCTCTATCCCAGCTGCCTTTTCAACCCCAGCATGTGAGGTTGGCTTCCAAGCCGTGGAACAATCCTCCTGTGTATTTTTAAAGTTCTCTCTCTTTTTTTTTTACACTTTTGATACTCATCTGGAAGATTTTCTTTCTATTATCTTTGGCTTCCCCCACCCCCAACACTGTGGCTTACAAAGTTGTTTACTGTTGTTTCAGGTATTCAGTGTTCCAACACCAATCCCATTACCAGTGTGACTTTCCCTCCACAGTTGTCCCCAGTTTTCCACCCATCCTCCAAGTCTGCCCCCTTAGCAGGCACAAGATAGTTTATTTTATACTGCTTGTTATGACAAAACGGCTAATGGAATTATCAAAAAAAAAAACCTTCAGTAGAAGAAAATTTGTGAAAATTGTTCTGTCTCACCATGGGGGTCATTACAGTCATTGTCTGAGGGTTTGCTGAGCTTTTTCTAGCCGAGCCTTCAATGTAATTGTTTTCAATGTAATTTATTGAGCTTAGGTGGCTTCTGTGCTGCTTTCCTGTCTAATTTGTGGGATTTGGAGGTGTCAACTCTAGTATCTGTAGAACTGGGTGGATGAGTTTTCATGACTGTGGCTATGGATGTGGGTGTGACTGCCTGGGCTCCTGGCTGTATAGGGAGTGTGGGGGGGGCTGCTGAGATTAGATATGAAACAGTGAAGTTGGGCTGTTTGCATGAGGAGGTGGCTGTGGGATGTGGGTGCAGCTGCCAGGGCTTTAGCAGGGCAGGGACTCAGACTGTTCACCCCCTGAGGGCACCCCAGAGTTTTCCGGTGGAAGACCTATGTGCTCATGAATTTTTGCAGCTTGTCTGGCATCTTCCAAGATTAGTAGTGAAGCTGTGGGTCTGGGCTGTTGCTTACAGGGCGGCAGCTATGGTATGTGGTTCTATTATCTTTGGATTTTAAAAATTTTTTTATTTGTGGGGCTTGAGGTGCCAAATTGAACTTTAAGTCTTACTCACTTGATGGGTTCTACCACTGAGCCACATTCTTGGCTCTAAAGTTGTTTGGTTTTTTGTTGTTGTTGTTGTTGTTATTTTGTTTGGGGGTCACACCCAGGAGTGCTCATGACTTACTCCTGGCTCTGTGCCCAGAAATTATTCCTGGTGGACTGAGAGACCATATAGGATGCCAGAGATTAAACCCAGGTCAGCCACATACTAGGCAAATGCCCTACCTGCTATACCCACTCAGGCCCCTCCAAAGTTTTGTTGGGGGCAGGCACTCCCCAGCAGTATTAGAGACTCTGGTGATCACTTCTGGCAATACTTTGCCCAGTGATGGAAGTCTTATGATTTCTCAGGCCTGGTGACACATAGCTAGTCAGAGACAGGGGGGCGGTGGGGGTCACACGGCCACCCATGTTTCAAGGGCCCATCAGGGTTACACCAGGCAGTGCTTAGACTACACTGGAGCCACACCAGTGATGCTCCAGGACCATGTGCTGTGGGAATTGACTTTTTTAGTTTTTTTTTTTTAAGTAATTTTTACCCTCCCATCCCTTTATCTTCACATCACAATGATGATGATGTTGTTATCACGTGATGTTGGGGAGGTTGTCCTCATGATTGTGGTGCATTCAAGATGTGGCACACTTTTGTTGTTCAGGGGATCATAATGGTACTTCAGAATTGCACTCAGGACTTGAGGGATGGTACCAAAGATCAAAGTTGCAGCCTCACACCTACAAGGCAGATACTCTGCCTCTGAGCCACATCCTTGCTCTTTACAATTAGCATCATAAAGTAATGGTGACCTAGTTTGAATAATACCAAATTTAGTTCAAGAGTATATAATACTTACTTCCTGTATATCTATTTCTTTCCCCTTCATTTTGTTCTTAAAGATTTATGCAGCAACCTGTTTAAAAAGTTTATGCATTTAGTGATAGGGAACAAAGGAGTTACAAACCAAAAGTGCAATAATATGGACTTTTATATTTACATTTGTAGTAACATTTACCAATGTTCTTTCTGCTTTTGTTGGATTTGAGTTGGATTTGAGTTTCATTTCGTCCTTTTAGCATTTCTTTTAGGGCAATTCTAGGCATGAATATCCTTAGCTTTTCTTTGGGGACTGTCTTAATTTATTCTTTATTTCGGAAAGAGTTTTTCCACAGGTACATTGTTGGTTGTGTACAATTTTGTACTTTTAGATATGTTTTTTAATTTCTTAAGATGGATGCTTGCTTATTTTCAGTTGTCTTTTCTAAACTTCTCTATAAGTACTACTTTAAGTGCATCCTATAACTTTCCTATGTTATTATATTCCTTATTATTTGATTCTAAATATTGGTGTGATTTCTCGGGGGGAGGGGTTTGGAGGGGAGGACTTCTAAGCAAAGTTCAGGATCCCTAGGAGGCACTTTTGACAATTCTTGATGAACTGACCACCAGTTCAATGCTTGGGCCTGGCAATGCAATGCTGCTTTGGGCCCAGAAATGCTGCATTTGCAAGCCATTCTGGATATACCTGGTGCTCAGGGGACCAGGTAGAGTTAGTTTCAGGCTCTGTGGCATGCAAGTCATGTACTCCTGCCTCTGAGCAGTCTCCCTAGCCCATATACTCAGTTTTAAAAGTATAAGGGGGCTGAAGAGAATATAGTTGGTAAGGTGCTTGGCTTGTACATGTCTGATCCAGGTTTGATCCCCAGCATCTCATAAGGTCCCCTAAACACCAGGAGTAATTCCTGAGTGCAGAACAGGGAGTATCCTCTGAGCATTGCCAAGTGTGACCCAAAACCTTTAAAATAAAACAAAAACATTTTTTTCTTTCTTTCTTTTAGTGCTAGTGATCAAACCTGTGGCCTTACATGTTGCTCTACAAGCCACATCCCTGACCCCTGTAGGATTACTGCTTTGGGTAGAACATGGGTCTTCTTCATGTTAAGTATATATTCTAGGCCTAGAAGTCATTTTCACAGCCCCTACCTTTTAAAACTACATATTAGGCAATATTCCATATCAGTACATGTACTTTTTGAGGATTATATAATAATTGCAATGTTTATTAAACACATGTAAATGCATCAGTGACCAGAATGTTAGTTATATGCACAAGAGGACCACTGACAGACTCAGGGTAACCTTTTACCTTTAGGGGTGGGTGGAAAAAGAGTAGGTAGCTGGAAATAAGAACAGCCATATAGGAAAATGATTTTAGGAGGTGGAATTGGCAGTGAGATCATGTAAGACAATGACAATGAGCAAAGACGCTCAGGGGTTACTCCTGGCTCATGCACTCAGGAATTACACCTTGTGGTGCTCGGGGGACCATATTGGATGCTGGGGATTGAACCCGGGTCGGCCGTGTGCAAGGCAAACGTCCTACCCGCTGTGCTATCACTCCAGCCTTAGCTCATGGTTTAACAAAGGGAACCTTCTTTTTACTCCTTGTAGAAAAATTCTTGTTTCTTCATTTTTAAGGCATATATGGGGGAGGGTGGATAAATGGATATTTTGGTGGATTTTATACCTGCCATCATTTTCTGAACCCAATAATGAATGGAGCTCTTTTCTGCGTCCTTCACACCCAGGCCCGATATGAAAGCCAGAGGCTCCAGCTGGAGTCGGAGCTGGCTGTGCAGCTGGAGCAGCAAGTGACAGAGCGGCTGGCGCAGGCTCAGGAGAGCAGCCTGCGACAGGCGGCCTCCCTGAGGGAGCACCACAGGTACGGGGACTAGCTACTCTGCTTTTGCCTGGCAGCAGAGGATGTGCCCCACCTGGAGTCTCTTAGATTCCTTTTCTATTTTCTAACACATTTGATCCTGTCAGCCAGGACCAAAGGTAGGAGAGCTGCCTCCAGATACACTTAGAGGCCCAGAGTACCTGGTAATTTCCACCCTGTGGGGAGTAGTCTTTAGCCAGTATCTTATAGGCACAGGCATATCCTTCTCCAGTTCCCTGGCAGGGTGGGATCTATGGATGTGTACACACATGGCTGAGCTGTGACCTGTACCCTCTCCCTTCCCTCCTTGAGGGGGGGGGGGGGCTGAGGCTCTCTTTTAGTCCAGTCTCTTTTTGCAACCCAATTTGCCCAACTTATTTTTTTTCCTGAAAACACTATTTAAACTTGTTTAATTTTCTTTTTGGGGTGGCAAGCCTTGGCAGTTCTGGGGGCCACTAGGGCTATAACCAGCTGTGCTTGGAGTCATGAGATATTGGGATGAATTTCAGAGCCTCATGCATGTAAGGCATGAGGTTCCTTTGAGCTAGCTCCCTGGCTCTGGAAATACTTTTTGCTGGGCAGCAGTGGGGAGCTGCTCCTGAGCAGTGCTCAGGGTCCTCAGAGCTGCTTCTGGTGATGCTAGTATGTTCCAATGCCAGGGCCTAAGAATGCAACCCTCCTTGGGCCCTGGCATGCCAGGGGTTATTAGGCAGTACTCAGGCTCTGTGTTGCTGAGGATGGGTCTCGGTCCTCCACTCACAAAGCTTTGACCTGACTCCTGTGCTATTGCCCCATACCTGGAAGTAATATTTTGTTGGCCACACCAGGTGGTGCTCTTGGCTCAGTGCTGTGGGTAAGGGGAAGAGGTTACTTTTGGTGGTGCTCAGGGAACCAGAGGTCTAACCTGGCCTCCAGCATGCAAAGCATGCACTCAGCACGTTGAGCCATCTTTCTGTCTCCTGGAAACACTTGTAAAATTAGTCATTTTCCCATTAGTCTTAATATTGAGTTTCCACTCTGAATTACCCATCCTAAAGCCGCATTCTGATCCTACCTGACCACTCCCCCATGAACGCAAACTTGACTTTCCTCACTTACGTACTTTTCTCACTTTTTTCAGCTCAATTCTTTTTTCTTACCTGTGTCCTCTCAGGAAGCAATTGCAGGACCTCAATGGACAGCACCAGCAGGAACTAGCTGCACAGCTGGCTCAGTTCAAGTTGGAAATGGCAGAAAGAGAGGAGCGGCAGCAGCAGGTGGCACAGGACTATGAGCTCAGGTACTGGGAGGTTCTCAGTCCTCAGATCCTTTTCTTTGCCTGGGTCCCAAACTGGGACTTAGATCTGCCTTTAAGGTGATCCCAGCTTCTTTCAGAGTTTCATATTCAGCTTACTCCATCCTGAGAGGCTGCTTTCAACCCAGCCATGTCTCACCTCTGGTATCTTTTCTTCAGGCTGGCCCGGGAGCATGCGAGAGTGCGGGAGCTGCAGAACGGGCAGCAGCAGCTGGAGGAGCAGCGGGCGGACCTGGTGGAGCGACTTCAGGCCATGCTGCAGACCCACTGGGAGGAAGTCAGCCAGCTGCTGAGCACGGTCACTCTGCCTCCCAACCCCCTGGTCTGTTGCCCTTGGAGCTGAGTTGGCTCCGGATAGGGTTTAGCTAGATATCTTCTCAGGAAATCTTCCAAGGGACGTCCTAAATTCAGTTCTTGAGACCCACATTACTGGGAACAAAAGAGAAATCTGTAAACATTATCAAAGAATAACTGTCTCATCACCAAGATACATCTGTTTCATATAGCTCACCATAGCTCACCCAGATGGGTGCCATTACCTGGGGCTCTCTCTTCTCTGTAGCCATGAGGTAATAAGTATTTTGCTGAATAGACCACTGAATTAATTATGATATTATGGGCAAAAAATCCTGTTGCTAAGTTCTGCTCTAGAACGGGGTAGAGTCTCATCGTAACCCTTCTTGTGCACCTCTCCCACTTTTCTGATGGGGTGCAAGGAGCCCTCCCAAGATTTGCTTAGGGGATCTGGGGTCCTTCCCAGTAATTCTTGGTCAGGTTGGCCAGTGGTTCGGTGTGAGGGCCCAAGGATGTGGTGCTGCTTAGGCCCCACAGTCAGTGATTATCTAGGCCATCCCAGCAGTGCTTGGGAGTCTCCAGGACTCCATCAGTGATGCTCTGGGGGCCATGTGGTTTAGATCAAACCAGGGTTGGCCTCATGCAAAGCATGAGTCTTATCCTCTGTGCTATCTCTTCAACCCCTTCTCCTACTTCTTTTAATTATAAAAATTTCATCACTAAATTAAATTAATGTAACCACCATTACTGATATCTTGAATGTCCCACCCTTAGTTGCCTTCTGTTTTTGTTGTATAAATTTGGGGCAGGGGGAAGGGTTGGTGGTTTTGCACCACACCTGTGATGCTCAGGGGTTACTCCTGGCTCTGCACTTAGAAATTACTCCTGGCACTACACAGGGGAATGTATGGGATGCTGCGGATTGAAACTTGGTCAACTGCATACAAAGCAAATGCCCTACCAGCTGTACTATCACTCTGGCCCTATTTTATAATTTTTTTATTTAGCCAAATGCTTTTTGGTGGACATTAAAATTGTTTCATGTATTTTGATCCTGTAAAGAGTGCTATAACAAACATCATTAATATATGTCTTTGTGCAAGTGTATCTGAAATTTCTGGAAACAAAGTTATAAAGTTAAGAAACCATTTTAAAATTGAATAGAGGGAACTGGAGATACAGTACAGCAGGTAGGGTGCTTGCCTGGAATGCAGCTGACCCAGGTTCAATCCCTGAGATCCCAAATGGGTCCCTGAGCCCTGGCAGGAGTAATTCTTGAAGGCAGAGCCAGGAGTAAGTCCTGAACACTCCCTGGTGTGGTCCAAAAACAAAAACAAAAGACTTTTTCTTATAGAGAGCTAGAAAGATAGTACAGGAGTAGGGCACTGGCCCTGCACATGGCCAACCCAGGTTTGATCCCTGGCATCCCATGTGGTCTCCTGAGACAAAAAAGAAAAGAAAAGAAAACAGAATGTGGTTCAAGTGGTAGAGCTTTGGGCTTGATCCTTTGGCACTGCATGCACCCTGAGTATCACTGGGTATCATAATAGTAAATATTCTTATTAGCTTTTATTTGTATGGTATTAAATCATTAGATACTATTTATTGAATATATGCTTTATGTGGAGTAGAATCCCTCTAAAGAAAGATAAATGCACATATACCATGCTTTCATTAGATAGGCATTTATCAGAATTTGGTTTTATTTATTTTGGGGCCATGCCCAGTGCTCAGGGCTCATTCCTGGCAGGGTTTGAGGGGACCATATGGGATTCCAGGAATTGAACCTTGGTTTGCTACATGCAAGGCAAACACCGTACCCTCTGTACTATTTCTCCCTCCCCAGAATTTGGCTTTATGTACCAAACAATGTACCTGTGAAAGCATAAAGATAAAATATGAATGAAAAATTTGATTTATGGAAAAACTGGATCACCAAAAATATGGATCACCAAATTTCATATGTGTATGTGTGTGTTTCGACCATACTTGGTTGTGCTCAAGGGTTACTCCTGGCTCTGCACTCAGGAATTACTCCTGGCACTTCTCAGGAGACCATATGGGATGCTGGGGATCGAACCTGGGTGATCACTGCAAGGCAGACGCCCTCCCCACTGTATTATGGCTCCGGCCCCCCAAATTTCCTTTTTTTTTTTTTGCTTTTTGGGTCACACCCGGCGATGCACAGGGGTTCCTCCTAGCTCTGCACTCAGGAATCACTCCTGGCGGTGCTGGGGGGGCCATATGGGATGCTGGGGATCGAAGCTGGGTTGGCTGCGTGCAAGGCAAACACCCTACCCACTGTGCTATCGCTCCAGCCCCCCCCCCCAGATTTCCTTTTTAAGAAAATTCCACTAATTTGTTATTAAAGTCATGTACTCTTTTTTTAAAAAATATTTATTTATTTATTTTATTAGTGAGACGGGCTGGAGCGATAGCACAGAGGGTAGGGCATTTGCCTTACAAGGGGCCAACATGGCCGACCCGAGTTCGATTCCTCCGCCCCTCTCGGAGAGCCCGGCAAGCTACCGAGAGTATTCGATATGCCAGACACAGTAACAACAAAGTCTCCAATGGAGACGTTACTGGGCCCGCTCGAGCAAATCGACGATCAACGGGAGGGCCTTTACCTTTACCTTTTATTAGTGAGACACCATGAGGTACAGTTGTAGACTTACAAATTTTGTGCTTGGGTTTCAATTATACAATGATCAAACACCCATCCCTCCACCAGTGCCCATTTCCCACCACCACGGATCCCAGTATCCCTCCCACCCCTTACCCCCCCCCCCCCATCCCACCCTGCCTCTGTGGCAGGGCATTCCCCTCTGTTCTCTCTCTCCTTTTAGGTGTTGTGGTTTGCAAAAGAGGCATTGAGTGGCAATCATGTTCAGTCCATAGTCTACTTTCAGCAAAAGTCATGTACTCTTATCTCTTTAAATGTACTGAGATTTGACTCTTTCCACTTCTGTCTTGTGCCTAGGTTCCTGTTGCCAAACCTTCCAGCCCTGGGCCTCAGGAACCAGAGAAGGGAGAGAAGAGGATCTGGAACATGCCTCAGATGGCAGTGGCCCTGAAACCTGTCATGCAGCAGAGCCGGGAAGCAAGAGATGAGCAGCCTGGAGTACAGCCTGTTCTCGGCTCTTCCCCAGATCTCAGCCTTCTGCTCGACCCCCCTTTCCCGAACCAGCATTCCTTCCAGCCCCTGGAGCCGAAGCCAGATCTCACCTCATCCTCAGGTCAATGGGACAACTCATGGTGGTCCCAGTGTTCCATTTGACTTTTTCTTACTCTTCGTGATTAAGTATTTTGTTCCCTAGAAGTCAATGACCATAAGTTGAGAGCAACAGAAATCCAATCAAGTTGTTCAAATAAGGGGCATGCAGGGCTAACAAGATAGCTTAGAGCACTGGATAGCCTACTTTACCTAGAGGGGGTCTAGATTCAATCCTGGTACTGCATGACCCCCAAGGCTCCTCTCAGAGTGACCCCCAGCACGAAGTCAAGAGTAGCTCCTGAACACTTGGGTGAGGCCCGAAACCAGAAATAAAGGGTGAAGGATCTCATGGAAATGTGATGGAGCTGGACCTTACTAGGGCTGAAGTTGAGACCAGTGTCACTCTCAAGAGCTGACGTAGCTTTTCCTCCTCACTGAGTATCCGTGGGCTTTGAATTCTGCCATAAGAATTTCTAGAATTTTGCCTTTTTTTTTTTGCTTTTATAACTTTGACCTGCATGAATTGATGAGCCAAGCCACTGTCAAGTCACAGCATGATAAGTACTGTATACCTGAGACCTTATACACACACACACACACACACACACACACACACACACACACACTCACACACCTCACATGCATGCACACAACACACGTACAGTTTCACCTTACGTCTAGGGCCTTCTCCTCTGCAGCTGGGGCCTTCCATCCTGATCATAGAGCAGAGCGGCCATTCCCTGAGGAAGAGCCTGGGTCTGATGGGGATGGCTTCCTAAAGCGAGGGCTGCCACCTCCTCAGCTGGAGGGCCTCAAGCATTTTTTGCACCAGGTAAGAGAGGGTCCTCTTGTCCTCATTATTTTCTTTTTCTCTTTCTCTTTTCTTCTCTCTCCTCTGGGACTCTAGACACTTCCCCCTTTTAGAACTAATTCTCAGCTTCTTACTTTCTTAGTCGAAGTTCTATCTCATAAATTATTTTGCCACTAAATCCGCTGGCCTTAGTTCTTAATTCACTACCACCCCTGCTTCCTTCAGATGCTTCAGTCATTTCTTTGGTCCTCAGGGAACCTTTCTGTCTTATTCCCACCAGCTGCTGGAGACAGTCCCACAGAACAGTGAGAACCCTTCTGTTGACCTGTTGCCCCCTCAGTCTGGTGAGTACCAACTCTCAAGGAGGTTGGGATTGTGCCTGGTAAAGATGAAAGGGGGTTAACAGGGAATTTTTCATTTCTGATAGTGGTAATGGAGTGTCATGAAGGCCATGCTGTGTCCTTGGCTCTCTGTCCCATTTCCTTACTGTTGTCTCTCTTCTTTTGGGCACAGTGCTGTGGATTGAACCTAGGACCTCACACGTGCAAGGCAACTCCTCTCCTGCCGAGCTGTATCCCAGCCCCTTTGATCTTTCCTTTTGCTAGGTCCTCTGTCCGCCCCATCTTGGGAGGAAGCCCCTCAAGTGCCACGTCTTCCACCCCCTGTTCATAAAACTAAAGTGCCCTTAGCCATGGCATCTAGTATTTTTCGAGTCCATGAGTCCAACGAGTCGACCCGTTCACAAGGCAATGGTCCCAGCAGTGGGTCCCCAGAAAAAGGTAAGCTGGTCCCATTTTTGTGGAGAGCTAAAAGGGAAGGTGTAGAGCCAGTACCTTGAACCGAAGGCCCTTCTAGATGCCTATGGAAATGTAGGGTGAGGGATGCCAGTGGGGTCTCAGGATGATGACCCTTCATGATACGTCTTTCTCAGGTGGAGATGAACTCACATTCCCAAGGCAGCTGATGGAGGTGTCTCAACTGCTGCGACTGTACCAGGCTCGGGGTTGGGGAGCACTGCCTGCTGAGGATCTGTTGCTTCACCTAAAGAGGCTGGAGCACAGTGGGTAAGACCCTTAACTAGTGAAGTGTACATTGCGAGCCAGGAAATGCCTCAGCAGGGAATAGTGGGTGTGTATGTTGAGTCTTACCTTTTGTCATTTTCTGTGGAAGAAATGGAGGCTGAGTGTAGATGCAGTGATGATGAGATCTCTGCTTTCCACCGTTCTTTTATCTCTGCTGTCCTACCTATTTCGTCTTTAAAAATAAAAAGCTCATGTCTTCCTATCTTAGGAGTTTGCTCCCCCTTCCCTCCATCCTCTCCCCCTCTCCTCCCTTTCTTCCCTCCCTCCCTCCCTCCTTTGCCAGGATCAGAGGATGTGTTCCTGCTCAGGCCCTGCAGTACCAGGGTTACCCATGCCACACCTAGCAATACTGGGGGACCTCCAGGGCTTCACCTGGCATGTGTAGGGGACCATATGGAGCTGAAAATCGAACTGAGTTGGGTGCCCTAACCACTGTTTTTTGTCCTAGCTCCTCTCTGTAGGGGCCTTTCCAAGCAGTGTTATAGGGGTCCAGGAGGCCGCTCTTGGCAATGCTGAGCTTTGTGGGGGTGGGCCTGCTTGTTTAGTGTTCTCAGGGGCCACCAGGGCTACACTGGGAGGTGCTGGGGCGATATGCCATGTTTGGTGTCACACTCAGAGCCCCTTGCATGTTTTAGGCCTCTGTTCCATCAATTTGAGCTTGCTTCCTGGCCCCAGGTTTCCCCTCTCTTCATCCTGCAGCTCCAAATGCAAAACTTTAGGCTTTGGCCATCTAGAATACCTGATTCCACTAGTGTTTCCTCTTCTTTGGTCTCAGGACTGTCTGGTTGGTTCTTATCCTAAAGGTAGACACTTGCGGAATAGTTCTTTAGTCCAGAATTGGGAAAGCCGTGGGAGGTTTCCTGTCCCTATTTTGTGATTTTTGTGATCTGCTTTCCTATCCCTATTTTGTGATTTGTGTGACAGGAATGAGAGTCGTGGGGAAAATGCTCCCAGAAGGAACACAGATGCTCGCTTGGGTGAAATCTCCCGGAAGGAGGTGAGGAAAAGTAGAAGGGCAGGGGTGAAGGATGCAATGACTCATCGCTTCTCTACACCCCTCCCCCAACTGGCTTCGTCTCTGGTACCCTCCCACCTGAAGGGTTCATATATTAATTTTTTCTTTTTATTTCTCCTCATCTCTCAGATTCCCTCCCAAGTTCTCCCTCGCCGCCTCGCTACGGCTCCTAAAATGGAAAAACCTTCAGCCCGGAAGAAAAGTGCTCATCCTACCCCTAGTAGCATCAGGAGTCGGGGGGGAATCTGGAGATAAGCCCGTTACCCTTCTCCCCTTCATTTTATTATTGCCACCACCCCCATCATCATCATTTTAATAAATGCTCAGTAATATGTACTAACAGTTATGACTTAGGAATTTGGAAAGTGGAGGTTTAGTTGGAAACTTCCTTGTAAGAGACTTCACTTTATTCCACTGTCAAATGTTTTTCTGTTCTGTGGGAAATGACATAAATTCCTCAAAAGAAAACGCTCTAGAGCTAAGTTTAGTGTTTTTAGTGAGCTAGGGTTCAGTGTCTCAAGATAAAGCTCTGGTTGGTAGGATTATTGATGATCCTTATTTTCATCTTTGTACTTTTCTGTACTTCCTAAATTTTCTGAAAGAGAACATATTACTAATCATAAAAAACCTTTTGTTTCTTTTTATTTTAATTTCTATTTTTTAAGAAATTGAAATTTCAATAAAAGAGTTAATTCGTGAAAGTTTGAGTAACATTTGTTGGGAAGACAGTTTTCCCTTTTAAAAGAAGATAAATCTTGGAGCCAGATATTCAACAGGCTAGAGTTCATACTTTGCATATTTAATACCTGGCACCACATGGTTTCTTGAGAACTGTTGGGAGTAACCTTGAGTTGGGAATAGCTCCCACATACCTCTGGGTGTGTCTAAAAGTATGACTCACAAATTAGTAAAAGCATATAACTTTTGGACTCCCATCATTGGGGATTCTGGTGAACATATTATGCTCTAGGTAGTAGATATAGATATATTATGGTTGCTTAAAAGTTATGTTTTTAAAACATGTATAAAGCCAGAGATGAAACTCAGAAGTAGAGCAATTGCATTGCATGTGGAAGGCCTTGAATTCAATCCCTGGCACTGGAAAACAAAACACGTAGGACCTGAGTGGAAGTACAGTAGGTAGGGCACTTGCCCTGCTTGCAACCAGCCCGGGCTCAATCCCCAGCATCCCATATAGTCCCCTAAGCCCCACCAGAAGTGATCCCTGAATACGGAGCCAGGAGTGATCCCTGATCATAGCTGGGTATGGCCCCAAAACTACTGAAAAGCCAAAATGAAACATATATACATTGGAGAAATAGTATAAGAGCTAGAGCACTTACCTTACATTCAGCTTACCTCGAGTCAATCCCTGGTATAGCATCTGGTCCCCTAAGCACTTCCATGAGTGATTCCTGAGCACAGAGCCAGGAATAAGCCCTAAGCACAGCTGGCCACAAAACAAACATGTACAGGGGATAGTACAGTGCTTAGGGCACATGCAAGGCATATGATCAATGTGGGTTCATGCAAGGCATATGATCAATGTGGGTTCACTCCCTGCTACCACTTCTGACCCTTCAGCTGAAGTTCCAGTGGTCCCCAGCACCACAGTGCCTGAGCTGCTCTGTGTCCTTGGGCTTTCACTGGTCCTGTTGGCTGAGTATCTCCAATTTTGGGATCCCTGAATATTTCTTGTTGAGGCCCCTTCCCAGTCCCTCCACCCCCACCCCAGCCAAAACAAACAAACAAAAAAGTACAGTGACAAAAATCCAGTATCACTAAAATAAAGAGCAGCACTATTAGATAAGAAAATTACACCGATCTGAAACTAAAATTCCCTCCACTCTCATAGTAACCCCCAAATTCATAGTGCAATTTAGACTATAATGTGAATCCAGACACAGCTGTCAGCCCTAGGGCACATTGTGGATGGTGGTGATGGTAAAGACAGTCTGAAGGGTGTGGCAGTGATTGGGTGCTCAAGAGTTTACAAAATTCTGTAAGTTGGTGGTATCCTATTTACCCCATACCCAGTAATAGTGTTTCACATTAACAAATGTTTAGATGTTTCCTTCCATGTAAAAGGGGAAGGAAGAAAGTGCAAACATCCCCAGGTATGCAGGTTTTCTCTGGCTGGTCCAGTGTAGTCATCAACTTGCTCAGGGCTGCTTTCTTTAGCAAAGAAGAAACAACAAACAACTAACTCCTGTGGAAGCATCACCAGTTTCAGGGACTTTTCGACCCAGTGTCTTTATGGATCTATAGAGTTTGATTTTGTGTTTTTTGCTTCAGTGTGGGAATTGTCCCATTAAAAGAAACCTCAGATTAGAATGGTCTCCTGGATAAAAAAAGCTCAACCTGGTTTCAACAATGGGTAATGCCAAAGTGCATTTTTCTGGGGAAAAATCCCACCAGACCTGAAGAGGAGGTTATCTATACCTTAAAGGTACTTGCTGATTGTTCATCACCCTGTGGCCATAGCTGTGTAAATATTTCAGTCTTTGTTATTACATGTGCAGTTAACTTGCAAGCAGTGGCCCACATGTTGGGAGCCAGAGGGAAGTAGATACTGAAAATAGAAAGCTGGGCAGCCCCTTCTTGGGGCTGTGCAGGTGATCCTATTGCTTGGATCATCATTGTGTCTCATTATCTGCAACCTACTGCTGGACAGAGCTGAAGAACCAGTTTGGTAGTGACCAGCCAAACTTTAAGTACAAAAAATTAATTTGATCTAACTGATCTGGGTCACCCTATCATCATTGGTAGGATATAGTTTTGTGCCATTTTTACAAGCTGGGGAGATGAATGTCCAGTGTTACTTCATTATCTCTCAGATGCCAACCTACCACCATCAGTCAACTTGCCCTACATTATTCTTGACATGAACTGTCTGAATAATATCTTTTAACTCTCCAGAACAAATTTAGAAAAGGGCACATTGCTGACTTAAGAATTTTGTGATAGACCAGAATGAGTTGTTTGCATTTGGGGGCTACACCTAGCAGTAAATGCAAGGCAAGCACCTTTTCTTTTTTTTTTTTTTTTTTATCTTTTTTATTAGTGAAACGACATGAGGTACAGTTGTAGATTTACAAATTTTTGTGCTTGGATCTCGGTCATACCCCGATCAAATACCCATCCCTCCACCAGTGCCCATTTTCCACCACCAGGATAATATCCCTCCCCCCCCCATCCTCCCATCCCCCCATCCCCCCCTGCCACTGTGGCAGGGCATTCCCCCCTGTTCTCTCTCTCCTCCTGGGCGCTGTGATCAGCCAAAGAGGCATTGAGTGGCGAACATGTTCAGCCCAGTCTACTTTCAACCTGCATCTCCCCTCCTGGGAGGATCCTCCAAACACCCTCCACTTGGTGTTCCCCTTTCTATCTGAATTGTCCTTTCCCCTAGAATACCCAGCTGGCCTCTAAGTTATGGAGTAATTCTCCTGGTGTTGCTCTCAGCTATTCTTGGGTATTAATCTCATATTTTATTATTTTATATCCCCCAGATGAATGCTATCTTTCTATGTCTATCCCTCTCTTTCTGACTCATTTCGCTTAGCATGATACTTTCCATATTGTACCACTTGTATGTAAAGTTCATGACTTCATTTTTTCTAAGAGCCACATAGTACTCCATTGTGTAGATGTACCAAAGTTTCTTTAACCAGTCATCTGTTCTTGGGCACTCAGGTCTCTTCCAGTTTCTGGCTACTGTAAAGAGGGCAAGCACCTTTTCTGCATGTACGATCTCTCCAGCCCCAACAAAAATGATTTTTGTTTGTTTGGGGACCACACCCGGTGGTGCTTACTCTTAGCTCTGTGCTCAGGGAGCATTCCTGGCTCAGGAGACCATAAATGGTGATGGGGATCAAACCAGGATAAGCTATATGCAAGGCCTTCTCTGACCCAAGAATAATTTTCGAAAAATACATATTTACCCACATTAAAAATCTGTTCTTTACCAAAGACCACCAAGAGGCTGAGGAAGATGGAAAAAAAAATTCAAGTCAAACCCTTTCCCCACTTTTCCCCTCTGTAATCACTAGGCATATTCTTGAAGACTGGGGAGAAATTTGGGGAACTCCATGAAAGCTCCTATGAAGAGGAAGTGGGGTGCAGTCTTGGAGCTCAGATTTCATGTAGTGGATGAACAGCATGTGCTGTGAAACCTTGTCTCCCAAAAACTTACAGCAGTTGTGGTGTGGGTAGGGGTGGCTGTGGTTGATGAATTTCACAAACATGTTGAGTGGGAAAAGCAGATTGCAGAAGAAAACACACACTCCACTATTTATGTCAAGCTTGAAAACAGGAACAGTATGGGACCAGTCCGGTGTGAGGTATTGGAATGTGAGCAGAGTCAAGAGGAACCTTTTCAAAGGGTTGATCCAATACCATTTGGCAGGTATCAGGGTACGGGTGGAGAGATACTGGGCATCTGTGAGAGGGAGGGTATGGAGAAATAATAGAAAGTCATATGTAGATTTATTACAAGCAGTGGGAATCAAGTTGCTAACTGCTGGAGAAAGAACAATACAGAAAGGGAGAAAATGAATGATTTTTGTGGTATTAGTAGAGATGTTGGTAGAGGCATTGCTTCACTGTCAGGAATGTCATTCTAGAGCCTCCATGTCATACAGGGTTTTCTTTGTGAGTCTGTCCCTCTGTCTCTATGTGTTCTCATGAAGACCCAAGTCACTGAATTTACCATGCCACAATCCCATATGATTTCATTTTGACTTGATTATGTCTGAAAAGACCCTGCACCCAAACAAAGCCCTAATCAGAGGTGCTGATTGCGTCAGATTTCAACATATCTTTTGGGGTGACACAGTCTAATCCATAATAATCCCATTAACACACCTGTGATTCAGCTTTTCTTTTCCAAACACTATCCTGAATGCTGATTCCAGACTGAATCAGGGAAAGTACAAACGACATCTAGAAAATCTTGAGGTGAAAAGTAATTATGTGGGGTTGGAGTGATAGTACAGTGGGTAGGGCTTGTGCCTTACACACAGCTGATCTGGGTTTGATCTTCAGCATCCCGTATGGTCTCCCAAGCACTGCCAGGAGTAATTCCTGAATGCAGAGCCAGGAATAACTGCTGAATATCATTGGGTGTGAATTCAGAAAGACCTTCTAAATAAATAAAGGTAGTGATGGGCTCTAAGAATTATGAAGCCAAGGAATATAGAAACCTACTTGATGGGCTCTATAATTTTTTAAATCACCATGACAGGGCTGGGAGGGATACTGGGACCCATGGTGGTGGAAAATGGGAACTGGTGGAGGGATGGGTACTTGATCATTGTATAACTGAAACCCAAGCACAAAAATTTGTAAGTCTACAACTGTATACTGCATGGTGTTTCGCTAATAAAAATTTTTTAAAAATCACCATGAGATACACAATTACAAAGTTGTTCATGATTGGGTTTCAGTCATACATTATCCAATATCTATTCCTTCACCAGCGTACATTTTCCACCACAAATGTCCCCGGTTTCTCTCCTTCTATACCGATCCCCACCTGTCTCTATGGCAAACACTTTTCTTTCTCTCTCTCTCTCTCTCTCTCTCTCTCTCTCTCTCTCTCTCTCTCTCTCTCTCTCTCCCCCCTTTTGGTCATTATGGTT